CAGAGTTTATTCACTGATCAGCTCATCATGGCCTGGCTTTTTGGATCTTTGTCGAAGGATATCTTGAAAAGTATCTATGGTCTCCGGTCTTCACAAGAGGTATGGTTCTTCCTTGCTAAGAAGTTCAATAGAGTTTCTGGAACTAGGAGGCTAGATCTGCAAAGAAGGGTTCAGACTTTAGTTAAGGGCGATAAGCCTCTAGCTCAGTATCTAGCAGAAACCAAAACTCTTTGTGACCAGTTAGACTCGATAGGGTCTCCAATCACTAAACAAGAAAAGATCTATGGGGTGTTAAATGGTTTAGGCAGAGAGTATGAGTCCATAACTACTGTGATTGAGGATTCAATGGATGAAATTCCTGCACCATGTTTGGAAGATGTTGTGTACAAATTGACCAACTTTGACGATAAGCTGCAAGCGTATCAAATCCCTGCAGAGGTCACTCCTCATCAAGCTTTCTACACTGACAGAGGAGGATACTCTGGTCGTGGAAACGGAGGCCAAAACAGAGGAGGTTATCGAGGCAAGAAAAACTACTCAACACAGGGAAGAGGTTTTTCTCAATAGTTTGGCCAGAGCAGTGGTAGAGGAAACTACTAAGATAATCGTCCGACCTGTCAAATCTGCGGGAAGTATGGACATCCGGCTTTCAAGTGCTACAAACGATTTGACCACTCCTTTCAAGTCGATAAAGCTTACCATGCTCTTCCTGCGATGAAAGTTTCTGACAGTCAGGAGTACTCTGACAATCCATGGTGTGCTGACTCAGCTGAAACTCATCACATCACCAACTCACCTCAGAATCTTCAAGCTTCACAACAGTATGATGGTCTTGAATCCGTAATGGTGGGTAACGGGATTTTTCTACCAATAACACACCTTGGATCCACAGTCATTCCAACGGTAACAAGTAATGGTAGTCTTCCTCTTAATGATGTACTTGTCTGTCCAGATATTGCTAAATCATTGCTCTCCGTATCCAAACTCACTGATGACTATCCATGCTCATTCACATTTGATTCACATACTGTGTATATTAAGAACAAGCAGACAAACCAAATTCTCAGTCAGGGCCGAAAACGTAATGGACTCTATCAATTGGATAATCCTCAGTTTCTGGTTCTCTATTCATCAAGACAACAGAGTGCAAGTGATGAAGTTTGGCACAGGCGCCTGGGGCATCCACATCATCAAGTTCTTCAGTATCTTTCTTCAATAAAGGCTATTTCTTTCAATAAGACTACTCAGTCAATGTGTGAATCTTGTCAGTAGGGAAAGACTTGCAAGCTTTCCTTCTCTAGCTCAAATTTTCAGTCTACTAGACCTTTAGAAAGAATACATTGTGATGTTTGGGGTCCTGCTCCTGTTGTTTCAGTTCAGGGTTTCAGATACTACGTTGTATTCATTGATAATTATTCAAGATTTTGCTGGTTTTATCCACTTAAACTCAAGTCTGAAGCTTTCTCTATGTTCAAACAGTTTCAACAAATGGCTGAAAATCAGTTTGGTAACAAAATATGTATTTTTCAGAGTGATGGTGGGGGTGAGTTTGTCAACACTCGATTCCTAAACCATCTTGCAGAATGTGGCATCAAGCAGTATGTTTCATGTCCTCACACGCCGCAACAGAACGGTCTCGCAGAAAGGAAGCATCGACATGTTGTTGAACTTGGTATGTCCATGTTGTTTCAGAGTAAGTTACCACAGAATCTCTGGGTAGAGGCATTTTTTACAGCAAATTATCTCATCAATCTTCTACCAACATCAGTTCATGAGAAGAGCATCAGTCCTTTTGAAAAATTAAGTGGTACTCGCCGGTCTATACATCATTAAGGGTCTTTGGAAGTGCTTGCTACCCTTATTTAAGGCCATATGCAGAGAAAAATACAAGGGGTATAGGTGTCTTCATCCACCAACAGGTAGGGTGTATATCAGTAGGCATGTCCTATTTGATGAACAAAGGTTTCCTTACTCTGATAGTTACAAGCATTTTTTACCAGCTGCAAACAGTCATCTTCTCTCAGCTTGGTACTCTGAGCAGCAGTCAGATGGTTCAGAGGATCAAGAAGCATCAATCAGACATGAAGAACAGGTTGTCTTGAGCCCACAGTCTGCAGTTCCCAATACAGTATCAGTGACTGCAGTTTCTTAAGAAGAGCAAGCACCAGTCAATGCTCACAGTGACAGCTCAAGTTCTGAAGAAGAAACTTTAGCCTCAGGAGATAACTCAGATCACAACTCAAATAAAGAACAGAATGTACAACCTGAAGCAATAAACACACATTCAATGGTAACAAGAGGAAAAGCAGGGATTCACAAGCCAAATCCTCGTTATGTTCTACTTGCTATTAAGGGAATCCCAATGGAACCAACAACAGTTGCGGCTGCCTTAGCTCATCCGGGTTGGAAAGCTGCAATGGGGGAAGAAATTGATACTTGCCATGATACAAATACTTGGAGTTTAGAGCCTGCTCCACCTGATGTCAATTTATTGGGATGCAGATGGATCTTTAAGACTAAGCTAAACGCTGATGGCACCTTAGACAAATTAAGAGCTAGATTGGTGGCCAAAGGATATGAACAAGAGGAAGGAGTCGATTTTCTGGAGACGTACAGCCCTGTAGTGAGAACTGCAACAGTAAGGGCAATTCTTCACTTGGTAGTGGTGGAAAGATGGGATATTAAACAACTAGACGTTAAAAACGCATTCTTACATGGAGATTTGTTTGAAACGATGTATATGAAACAACCTCCAGGGTTTGAAGATCCAATACATCCGTATTATGTATGCAAGCTTCATAAAGCAATCTACGGGCTAAAGCAGGTACCTCGTGCGTGGTTTGACAAGTTCAGCTCATATCTGATTGATTTTGGATTCAAATGCAGTACTAGTGATCCCTCTCTCTTTGTTTATCAGGAAAACAAGAGTATTCTTTTCTTATTATTATATGTTGACGATATGATTCTCACTGGGAATGATCAAACTCTGGTTGCTAGGCTGTTGAAAAAGGTCTCAATGAGAAGTTCAGAATGAAGGATATGGGACCTTTGAGTTACTTTTTAAGGGTTCAAGCTCTGTTTACTCCCACTGGACTCTTTTTAAATCAAGAGAAGTATGCAATGGACTTGTTGCAGACTGCAGGAATGCTAGACTGCGCTCCAATGCCCACACCATTACCTTTGCAACTTGATCGTGTGCCTCACCAACATGAGGTATTCACTGATCCTACGTATTTTCGGAGCTTGGCAGGTAAGTTACAGTACCTGACCATTACTCGTCCTGATATACAGTTTGCAGTAAACCTAGTCTGTCAGAAGATGCATCAACCAACAGTAGCAGATTTTCACCTGCTCAAAAGAGTATTGCGGTATCTAAAAGGAACAGTTCAAATGGGACTCTATCTTACATCAGAATCAGACTCAATCCTTAGAGCTTACTGCGACAGTGATTGGGCAGGCTGCAAAGAAACAAGGAGATCAACAAGAGGCGTTTGTACAATTCTGGGATCAAACATCATATCATGGTCAGCAAAAAGGCAGCCTACTGTTTCAAGATCATCAACAGAAGGAGAATATAGAGCTTTATCAGATACTGCTGCAGAATTAACATAGATTGCCTCATTGTTGAAAGAAGTTGGAGCACCACAACACAAGCCTCAAGAAATTTATTGTGACAACCTCTCCGTTGTTCATCTCACAGCTAATCCGGTTCTGCATCCCAAGTCCAAGCACTTTGCAACGCATTACCACTATGCTCGAGAACAAGTTGCTATGGGTACTCTGATCGTCAAACACATTCCAGCACACCTGCAATTAGCAGACATTTTCACAAAGTCATTGCCACATGCCAGCTTCTTTTCTCCCAGGTTCAAACTCGGTGTGGATTATCCTCCCACCTCGAGTTTGCGGGGGGGTATTGACATTATAAGGCCAGAGCCCACCAACAGAGCCCATGAGAAGAATGCCCAACAAGACAAGCCCAAGAAACAAGCTCACTGTGCAACGACTATCTCAGTCAAAAGCAAAAGCAACGCATACAAAATGTGTGAGAAGAGTACGGCAACACCACCTCATCAAATCCAGCTCTCAAACAGATTTGGAGCGTTATCAGATTATGAGTCATGAGCTGTCACTGACAGGTGTCAAGACTATCCACATTGTCTCTAGATTGTTCTTTTAGTCTCTATAAATACACTCTATGTATCAATGACATAATAAAGCAATAAGAATGCAGTTTTAAAGTTATCAAAGTTTCTCCATTGTTGTTATCGCTTTCAAAAGGATGACTTAGTGATTCTCCGAGCTAATATGAGTTGTTTTTGGCAAGAAGTGGAACATAAAGTCGAGTTAGAAAAAGAAAAAAAAAAGTCGAGTTAGAATACGTATCAATATTGTAGGACTATATATGGACAACACATTAAGAAAAAAAAAATACTCTTAGATTGACGCACCACACACAACTCCTCTTGATCTTAAAGGTCTTTAGTGAATGGAACAAACCAATGTAGCATAACTGGATAGCCATATGGGAGATATATATCAATGCCTTGTATGTTTGTATACCTTGTAAATCCCTCAACTTCTCCTACACATTTTCCTTGATAAATATCTCCAAGAAAATTCAATGAGATCAATAAATATTATTGCTTTATATTTAGAAATCGTTACCGCTGATTAATTCTAATATATCGATCCGCTGTTTAATTATAATAAATCGCTTATGGTCTAGTAGTTGTTTTAGTTTTGTTCCAACTCTTTTGTAAATTTTCTTTTCTATTCTAATGGTGTAAAAGATCGCCCATTCGTTAAAATACGAAAGGAATTACTCATCATGTGAATATTAGGGGACAAATAGAAGGAAGAATATGTTTTACATTCAATGCCGAGTTCTTTATACGATAAAAGGTTTCATTATGGGATTGAGAAATCATAACACTTCATCAAAGTGTTTCAATAAATTTAATTGAAAGCGAGAAGAGAGGTTAAAAATTCAAAAACGATTTATGCAACAGGAGAAAAATTGGCTAGATAAGAAGATAATAACCGCAGTGACAATATTCATAAAATAAAATTCCAAAAAAAGTTCACAATGAGAAAACAAATAAAAAGCAAAAACAAGGAAGCATGTTTGCTTAGCTCCGCCACCTCCGATCAAGAACCCAATTACGAGAACAACGCTCTGATGGGGAAATAACGAAACAGGAACACAGACAAGCGACCAGATACCAAACTAGTGTAAAAAAACTAACATTGTCCTTTGATTCACCTGCGGAAGATAGGTTTTTGAAGATGGTTCACTTCGCACCCTTCTTGACGGCAGCCTTGGTAACCTTGGCTCCGGTTGGGTCCTTCTTGTCCACGCTCTTGATGACACCGACTGCAACAGTCTGCCTCATGTCCCTCACGGCAAAACGTCCAAGGGGTGGGTACTCAGAGAAGGTCTCCACAACCATGGGCTTGGTCGGAGTCATCTTCACCATACCAGCATCACCATTCTTCAAGAATTTGGGCTCCTTCTCAATCTCCTTACCAGAACGCCTGTCAATCTTGGTCAAGATCTCAGAGAACTTGACTGCAATGTGTGAGGTGTGGCAATCGAGGACTGGGGCGTAACCGTTACCAATCTGACCAGGGTGGTTCATGATGATGACCTGGGAGGTGAAGTTGGCTGCTCCCTTGGCAGGGTCATCCTTTGAGTTGGAGGCGACGTACCCTCTCTTAAGATCCTTCACGGCAACATTCTTAACATTGAACCCAACATTGTCACCGGGAAGTGCCTCAAGAAGAGACTCGTGGTGCATCTCAACAGACTTGACCTCAGTGGTCAACCCTGTGGGAGCAAAGGTCACGACCATACCAGGCTTGATCATACCAGTCTCAACACGTCCCACTGGCACCGTTCCAATACCACCAATCTTGTAGACATCCTGAAGTGGGAGACGAAGGGGCTTGTCTGATGGCCTCTTGGGCTCGTTGATCTGGTCAAGAGCCTCAAGGAGAGTTGGTCCCTTGTACCAGTCAAGGTTGGTGGACCTCTCAATCATGTTGTCTCCCTCGAATCCAGAGATGGGCACAAACGGGATTTTGTCGGGGTTGTAACCAACCTTCTTCAAGTAGGAAGACACCTCCTTGATGATTTCATCGTACCTGGCCTTGGAGTACCTGGGGGTGGTGGCATCCATCTACAAACAACATGCCAATTAATGAGACTAGTGAACATAACCGATAAAAAAGAAGCAAATATCACAACTGAACAGATAAAAGATGTGGTTACCTTGTTACAACAGCAGATCATTTGCTTGACACCAAGGGTGAAAGCAAGGAGAGCATGCTCACGGGTCTGACCATCCTTGGAGATACCAGCCTCAAAACCACCAGTGGTGGAGTCAATGATAAGGACAGCACAATCGGCCTGAGAGGTACCAGTGATCATGTTCTTGATGAAATCACGATGGCCAGGAGCATCAATGACAGTGCAGTAGTACTTGGTGGTCTCGAACTTCCAGAGAGCAATGTCAATGGTGATACCACGCTCTCTCTCAGCCTTAAGTTTGTCCAAAACCCATGCGTACTTGAAAGACCTCTTGTTCATCTCAGCAGCCTCCTTCTCGAACCTCTCAATGACACGCTTGTCAATACCTCCCAACTTGTAGATCAAGTGTCCAGTGGTGGTCGATTTACCAGAATCGACGTGGCCAATGACCACAATGTTGATGTGAAACTTCTCTTTACCCATGGTTACTTGTCAAGTAAATCTGCAAAAAAAAAATAATGAATCAATATAAAACAGCAGACATATATACAATCACGTTTCTAATATCTATCATTGTAAAAAGCCGCTATCGGAGTCGAACCGATTTCTACCACAAAGTTTGTGGTGCTCTAACCTCTGAGCTAAGCGAGCTAAACCAAAGTAATTTAAGGAGAGCAATAGCAAACAATCCTAGAGTTTCCACAACTTGGTATCAAGAAGAAGAAACAATGGATTTGTTATGCTGCTCCCGAATTACCCAATCACAAATCAATCAACAAATAAGATCACATGAATCTAGTTAACTCAGATCCAATAAACAATAAAACGATCCCAGAACAAGATAGATCCGATGATCGAGAAAATAGTTTATAATTAGCTTTCATGAAAAAAGATTGATTGATTGATCTCCTAAATTGATAAAACTCTAAACCACGGATCAGAAATTCAAAGCGATCTATCAAACAAAGAGCAACGAATACAAGAGATACATGTAAAGAAGAATCAAACTGAGAGAACAACAGACATGCGAGAAGGAACAACGAATCAGTAAAAGAGAAAGAAACATACTCAAGAAAAGGCTTACCTCAGAGATATCGCAGGCAAGTTAAGCGGCTAGGGTGACGAAGAATGAAGTAAGGAATAAGCTATGATGGGGGATTCGAGATTATTTATAGTGGTGAATCGAAAGAAAAATAAGTTAGGGTTTAACATATTACGTTTCAGAAATTACAAACATGCCCCTGTCCCGCCGACTATCTCTTTTTTGGGCCCTGAGGGGTTTCATAAAAGTCCACTAATTTTAGTTTTATAAGTCGACCTAAAATTTGAATTTGATTGTTCGATCCAAAGTGGAATTCACTTCACATTTAAACCAAAAATAACTCAAAATTATGTTCAAAACGAATTTATTAGATCAAAATGGTTTTACTTTGAGGATATACTTTTGCAGGTAGAGATTGAAATTTCACATAATGATAGAACAAGAGAAAATCACTAATGATTGATGAAAACATCAAACTGGAACATTTAAGACCACAAGTAACAGACTAGACATATTAGAGAATCGATGAAAGCAAGTATCAAGTATGGTAGACGAAATGTGATCAACGGGGAAAGGATTGTCCAAAACGTTGTCCATGACTCTAAACTGCATATCCTCCGATGGCTTCTAATGCCGCTTCCTCTGGTTTATGAACCAACTGTTTATCTGTTTCTGCTCCACCACCAGACTACTGGCTCCAGCCATTTCTATATCAGAGTCAATCTCTGAGCAGAAGAGTAATAGTGAGACTTGAGCTCTTTAAGACTGGCAGATGCATCATCAGCTATTCTAGCCAACAATCCATTTGTCTTCTCGGCCTCTTGATCAAACTCTTCTATTCTTTGTTCTACATGATCGTTTAGCGATGCAAATCCTGAAAAAATGGCTGTCTGCTTCAGTTCCGATACGAGTTTCAAAAGAGAATCAGCTGCTTGAACCTGCCACATCATTGTTGAGGAACTAAGTAAACAAACACAACAAGGGAATAATCTTAGCAGAAGAAATCCAGTTGAAACAATAGTAATACAACACTTGAGAGACTCATTAGTGAAAATGTTTCAGAGATTCAAGCATTACAGATTTATCCACATTTGTAGCCCTAACCCCTGAAACCCAGATTCTATGTAAAATTCCCTAATCCATATGCATTTGTCTATGAGAGCCCAAATGATTTCCTAAATTCTGATTTGCATGAGCCTATAAAGAAATCATTTGTATGGGATGGATTGAAGTAATCATTTTACCAGTCTAGAAGCTCGCATCTCCATCATGTAAGCTTCCTGCGAGTTCTTCACCGGTGGATCACTCACCTAACGAAACCAAAACATGTTTCGCCTCAATAAACACTACTAATCTTAAAGAGACTCTACATTTTCTGATAAATCCTAATTTTTAAAACCGGAAATAAACCAGACTTACCCTTGAAACATTGACGATTTGCGTGAAGTTATCGACGACAGATGTGATGTCAGTCTCTACTCTCTGCAACAACGCCTTTTGCTTCTGTAAAGCCGCCGCGGCGGCGGCAGCCGTTGGGCCACTTCCTCCACCGGATCCGGCCATTCCGCCACCAGAACCACCGCCTTTGTTCATTACTGTCGCTGGTCTTTGCAGAGAAAACGAAGAAAAGTAAGTAAGATGGCTATGGGAAGAGGAAGAAGACTAAGCGTGAAATTAGTATTGGGCCTAAAGTATATTGGGCTTATAAGTTAGTGTTGAAGTTATTATTACTGAACTTTCTAAAAACCGAACATGCTTTGACATTCCTCTCTTTCTTCTGCTCGGTATTGGTGTTGCAGAGGTGAGCGATTCAGACACATCTAAGATTTCATCTCCCTACTCTTCTATCTGATCCCTTTAATGAACCTTCGGTTCTTTCGTCTTAGTTTTAGATCAGAAGAGTAGATCGTTTCTCTTTGGAATGTTTTCTGAACCAAATCCGAATTTCGATGATAAATTGTCCCTTGTAATTGGTTTTCTGGGAGAAATTATCTGTTTTGCTAGCAATTGATTAGTAAACCCTCAAAGGTTTTGAAAGTTTCATTCTTTTTTAAAGTCTTTCATTAAACTCGGGTTTGCAACATCAAATCTGGTTCATTGTTATTTGTTAATCTTATTAGCTTAGATTTTACAACAGAGGGGTGTTTCTTAATCTCCGTATTAATGCACTGTGCTTTGTATTTTATTTTTTGGAAATAGTGTGGTTAAATGCAATTTATCTTACAGTTGCGAATTTGGAAGACAAGTTCCAGGACTGGTGAACTATAATAATTTGGGTTTGCTACGATGACGCTCGGTGCTCGGCTTATTGCTCCCATGATTATACTTCTCCTTTTTGTACCGATTGAATTAGTTAAAGCGGAAGTCATTACACTGACACCAGAAACCTTTTCTGACAAGGTAAGCCCTTTTTTTGCTATATCCCTATTCCCTAGAGTAGCGCAGTTTGTTTGCTCATAAGTGTATTTTCTGATCTATTTAAGTAGGGAGACTCACATCTCAGCTAACTTAAGACTATCTACCAGGGATTTAAATGTGTTAGGCGATCTTTCTGGCTATACATACTCTCTATATGGAGCATTCTCAGATTATTGTACTTCTCACATATCCCAGTTCCCTACCAATTCAGCATTACGCTTTAGTCTTGTTTTAGATTAATTTGTAAAGGCTCTTTCGAATAACAAAGCTCAACTTCAGAATGGTTGCATCTCTTGGTGTATCGTGAACAGTCTTAGTTCAGACACAATAACATGTTTACTCTCTCCATGTTTATTGTTGGTTCAGATTAAGGAGAAAGATACTGCGTGGTTTGTAAAGTTTTGTGTTCCTTGGTGTAAACACTGGTTAGTGTCCTTGTTTCATGAAAATACGTAACTCATAGCAGTTTTGGCTTGTTTGTCACTTGCTGATTAAAATGGATCTGAGTGTCAGCAAGAAATTGGGGAATTTGTGGGAAGAATTGGGAAAAGCAATGGAGGGAGACGATGAAATTGAAATTGGTGAAGTAGACTGTGGTACTAGCAGAGCTGTTTGCACCAAAGTTGAAATTCACTCATATCCAACATTTATGCTATTTTACAATGGAGAAGAAGTTTCAAAATATAAAGGTAAACTTGCTTAGTCACTCACCACCACATGCGTAGTTGAGTAATACTATAAGTGATCTTTTTTTCATTCCTGCATTTATAATCTCAGGGAAAAGAGACGTTGAATCGCTTAAGGCGTTTGTTATAGAGGAAACTGAAAAGGCAGCAGAAAAAGCGCAGCTTGAAGACAAGGAACTGTGATACAACTAGTCAGTGATTATTAGAACCTGATACATTATTCCCTTTGGTTTTCAGTTTGCCTATGCAGTTGTGTGACTCTTACTGTTAGTTAGATAGGCATGGCTTCAAAATTCGATATCCAGCACGATGGACGAACATCTTTGGCTTTAAAGGTTTTTTCACACCACTGTTTTCTAAGATTTTCAGTTTCCATTTTATCTACAGTCAGATAAGCAAAGGCAGAAGAAGTGCACTTAGTCGAGATTTCTTACAAGTTTGTGTTGTATGTTCGTTTTAAGAGCAGCTGCAGACAAAAGTTCTTGCTTTGAAATTTCATATTCAGTTGATTGTCAGTACTAATATGCATTAGTAACCTTGAGAAAGAGACAGAGTAATGCTAACTTTAACTGTCTTTTGAGAAGTGAACAAAACATGATTCTACTGTTGCTTCTGTTCCCACTTCCCATCCCATTATTAATGTAGATAGAGAGAGAGTAACAGAGACTCATTCAACTTCATGATCTGCAAACAAAATTATCAATTTTGATTCTTTTCTGATGAATACATCTTTGGTGTTATATTGTCCACCATCTGAATTTTAGAGTGGTTAAAAAAAAAAAGCATCCTCGATATGTACTTATCACAAGAATAAGTAGCTACCCAAAGAGAACTAATCTCACACTTACCAAAAAAAAAGAGAACTAATCTCACTACTTCCGTCTAAAAATGGCAAAATGAAGATGACATTTCCTAACAATGCATCTCCACTATCTCAAGCAAATCCAGCTTCCTTAATCGTCAGTATCCGAATCAACAACTTGGAGGATGTTAAGTGCTGAAGAACCCAGATTCATCCCACGAACAACACCTCCGTATCCCACCTTGATTCTGTGGCATATCAACAACATAGAGTCCCATAGTGCTGTTCTTCCCTGTTCCATTTCCAGTACAAGTTCATCACAAACCAAAATCCCTTTTTACATCCTCTGGATATGTAAACTGTTCCATGAATATTATAAAAATGAACTTAAATTCATCATTACCTGAAGAGTAAACTGCACTTTCTTATCCCAGTACAAGGCAAATGTGGGTGGGCTTTGCTTGTCTACCGCAAGCACACATGCACCAGGATGTAGTGTCGAAGGTACACCCGATACCACAGCAATGTACTTCTCTGGGAATCTCTCTTTTGGAGGCAAAACCCCTAAGAATAAAGGGTTCTTGCTTGCCTGAGTCCCTGTGTAAGAGCTAGGGTCCAAATGCAACATCCACTTTGGGTGTTCCAAGAAGGCACAAAACAAGTACAGAAGCAGATGAGAATCGGTTGGAGGCTCCAGGCTCCATTTCTTGTTTCTCTCACGAGTATCTGCCCTTCCATTGTATTCGTAGTTCTTCACACAAGTTCCTTCCGCGAGTGCTGCCAAAAGCCAAGAGTTATAAGACTCACGATTAATCGAATAAAATTTGAATTTGGATTTTTTTTAATGTTTGATACCTCGGATTCTTTGCACTGTGTAATCTGCTGGAATACTGCTGCGTGGAAGTAGGCCCTTAACCCACTCTCCTTTCATTAAGCCCTGAAGCCTCCGATGTTCACTTATAGCATCAACACATTCCTGCATGACAGGGATTAGTGCCGCTTGCTGTTGTTGTTGCTGTTGCTGAAACTGCTGGTTCTCTGTACGCAGCTTTTCTGCAGATGCCAGAAGAAAGAATCAGCAACTATATGAAGACCCAAACATTTAGCAACAACACATAAATTGACATGATATCATTATATCTCTCAGATATCCAATCGATTACAACATTCTTAAATTCAGTAATTTTATTGAGAAACATCAAATCTTAAGTTGATAGCATTATTTACAGTAGAAGCTGTAGAAATGCTACTTACGCATGGAAGCATCAATAGCCTGTACAAGATTAGCGCGTAATTGATGAAGAAGAGCATCTTCATCGAGAGAGTAAGATGGCTGCCACCCCTTCGTTCGATCAACCGGTAAGGCAGTTGTAGCGGTTCCATTTGTTGGCAAATCACTTCCAACTTGACTAACTGTGACATTAACACCTAGCTTTGATGCCGTTTGCATTACCTACACAAATGACAAAGTTTAAATTCTCCTTCACAGCAACATAGGGAAACAAGAAATTCTCCTTCTGCCTCTGATTCAGATGTGGTTATCAACTCATTCATCAGCAGACAAGTATAGGAAGACCCGTGTGATTTAGAAAGGACTCCAGAAACAAACCTGAATATGACTGGTTTCAACCTTGTTAAGCAGAGGTGTGAGCAACACGGAGGAACACCATTGCCTTAGTCGGTCACGCCAGTCTTCTATCTGAGGATAGACACCTAGATGAATAAAACCTTCGATAGCACCTTCTAAGGACATTGGATTGGGGAAATCACCCTCTCCTTTCTTTGGGGGAGTCGTAAATTTCTGAGCACCAGGAGACATCCTGACAGGTCTTAGTGGTGTACTCTGTAGTCCCAGATGCACCAGTTGAACACCAACTGTACTCGGGCTAGCCATGGCGAAACTCCCAACTGTTGGTGGAGGCGTACGCATCTTCCCAGCCGACTCAGTGATTGGCTCATCTATTTCAGCCAAAAGCTGCTCAAGCTGCTCCTCGGTAGCTATGTCTTTTGTAGAACTTCGTCTACCAGACCAAGGACTAGAAACAGCCTTATCCTGACCAGAAGAAGCATGATTAGAAGAAACTGGTGAGCTAGAAGGGACAAGATACATAGACGGTGAACCCATTTGTTTTGAGGGAGTGCTAAACGAACTAATCTGGTTTCCTGTACGGGAATTCAGCTTATCACCACCACCAGAAGACTTATGAGCTGAACCAGTAAGAGTTAGATGATGTATTGGGACAAGCGGCTCCAATGACTGTGAAGGTTTCGATGCAGGACGACTGTTTGGAAAATCTGATACATTCTGGTCAGCTTTTTTCTTTATCCCAAGAAGTTCAAGCTGACGATTTGATAGAGAAAACTGATCTTTGGTTTCTTTAGAGGAAGATTTAGTTTCTCCTCGGGCAGCAAACTTTGCTCTGTGCAGAGATATGCCTTTGGACAAAGCCATCATTGCTCCAATACAAAACAAAGTCACCAGCCCCTGCCACGCCTTTACAGTGACATCTGAACCACAAGGTAAGATCTTAGAGATATTAAGAAACTTAAAAAAAAAAACACAAAAGGTTAAAAAGGAAATCTCTCAGGAAAAAATGCAACTCACAAGCTGCCTCTTGGGATATTTTCCCGAATGTTAAAGCATTGGTCAACCATTTCTCCCTGCAACATAAGATAAAACAAGCAAATGATTATCATGATAGATGTTATCAGATTGAGCAATCCTAAATCACAGAGAAAGCAAACTAGAAAGAAAATACACTAAAGAATCAAGTCGGGATTTTCTCGCTAGCCAGAAGGCCCAGAACTATTCCAAATCCTAGGCAAAAACTTAATGTAAATACTCTAACAGTGCAACCAAGGAGGCAATGTACGAAGCTAAAGCTATTGCTGGCACGTACCCGGCCATGAAGGAGATGAGAGAGAAAGCGGAAGCGGTAGAGAGCAAGAATATGAATAGAAGAACGGATTTCGAGGGACGGAGGCTGTTGGCGGTGGAAGCGGCGGCGAGAGCAGGGTTCCGGTACACAGAGAACTTGGATGGCTTCGGAGAATGGGACGAACCTTGGGTGGAGTTAATTTTACTCCTCGCATCGGAATCCATAGCAGGAAAACGATTTCTCGAACAAACCAAAGAGGAGGAAAAGGGTTTTAGGGCCCGGCTGAGAGCTGCTCTCAGTCGTTGTTGTTGTGGACCCACCTTAATTTTATTTTTATCCATCATATAAGGACTTGCTTATTTGAATTATTTATTTTTTACCCCCAAATTCTTATTTGAATTTTTCCGGACAAAATTCTCAACAGATTTTTTATTTATTTATTTATGTATAAATCAAACTTTAAGAATTTTAGAATGTGTAAAAAGAAAAGAAAATGTGTAAAATTTTAATTGGTTGAAAACAAGCTAAGGGACATAATTGGTTTAGAAGACTGTTTTTTAATTTTGATTTTTGGCTTGTTTTACTAATATTATTTAATTTGATTTGTAAGAATAATTGGGAAAGTACAATATTAGAATTCCGACAACTCTTACAAATTTGATGAAGTTGTAACAAGAACAACAAAAAAAAGTATACATTCTAGAAATCAAATATGTGCAATCTCATAAGGGGTTAATTAGAAAGTTGAAGAATTGGGCAGATGGAACCTATAAACCAGGACAGGGACACAAAGTTTCACCCAAACGGTTCAATTCGATTCCAACTAGATATATTTCAGCCTGCATCTGTCATGCCTCTTTCCCATTCCTCCAACGCGGCCTCTGCTTTAAGTTTCTCGGGAACACTATCTGCATTCGAGATTTTACACGTATTAAATTGCTGTTAGCAACCCCAAGAAACTCAAATAATGAACACTTCAGAGGATAACAAGTACCCGCAAGGAACTCGTATCTCTCGTCGTTACTCACTACGGATGCTGCCAAAGAGTAGAAAAAACGGTGTCATCTATCATGTTAGGACTGCCAAAAATCTTGCAAGTGATAAGAACGGATTAGCTCATTATCTAAGACCAAAGACTACTGGCCCTTGTGCAGAAGCCAGGAACCCTAAATGGAAACCATATGCCTCGAAACAATCAGCGCATCAGCATGAGATTTTTGACATGGAATTCGGTGTTGAGGTTAACATCTTCATTAGTTCAGATTCCAGATATAGGCAAATAGGGACGAGGTTAGAGCTTACAGAGGTGTTTATAGTGGATGAATTTCTTTTTGTCCTGGACGGAACTATCATAAGCTTCTTCAGAAAACCGCTTAATGAACATCTCCTTCAATTACAAAAACCAGTTAAATCTAATGTAAACGCAATGAACATCGATTGCGAACAACACAACATGAAATCAAAAGGGAGGAAAAACAATGCCAAGTTCCAATACAGGAAAATTAAACATTCATCTCAAGAATCTTTGAAGTTCTGATCTACAAGATACCGGATAATCCAAATCACAATCATCAGGTAAGCTTTCACAATATGAGCCTAAATCATACAAGGACTTGCTTATGGGTTTGGTGTCTACAAGTTCTGGATGTAAAAGCTAAACCAATGACAATCAAGCAGTAACCTCCGTTTTCATCAAAACACATGGAGATGAAGCAATAATTTCAATCTCCAGATTAATTTAACTAAAAAATCTCGTTCCTGTAGCAATTTGCGAGATTATAATGCCCATTAACACTGGTTAGCAATTGATACTCCCAAATTCATCAAAACTTATGTGAAATCAAGTTCCTCAAGCTATATCTATGTCAATACTATCAATTGGTACCGTGGCTTTGTTGACAAGAAATACAGCATCCTGCATAATCTGTGGAGCGGAATTGTCGATTCTCATGATCCGCCGAATCCGATTCATCGGAAACTTAAACATCTTAGCATCTTCCACACCTCCGTCGTCCTCTTCCCGATTTTTACTCGTCTTCGTCGGAACTCCTCCACTCTTTCCGTTACGGCCTTTGCTCACGACGCCATTACTTTTCTTCGCCGCATCACCTCTTATTGCTTCTTCCACAGAGTCACTGCTCGAAGATTCTGAGATCTCGTGAATCTCCGGCACCTTCTTCACAATGTTGACCTTATTCGTCGCCTTCCTCGCTTTGGAACCGGAGCTGCGTGTATTCCGGCCACCAGCTTTATTGACGACGGCATCGCTCCTCGCCTTCTTCTCCTTGGGTTTCTTTGACGACACCATTAATTTTCCAGAACTACAGTGTGTTGTTTCACCCTTTCGCCTGAATAAATCGATGGATATTTACATGGGCTTATATATTTGAGCCTTTTAGGCCCATTTATCATAAATAGTACAGGCCCAGAGGAATGAGGAGGCATGATGACGACTATTTGAAATTAAATTACTCACATGCACCTCGCAAAACATTGTACAGTTATGGAGAAAATAAATTATGGTAAATGTTTTTGGGATAAGATAATGTTTTAATGCAAAGCCCCCCAAAAAACATTATCTTCTTTCCGACATAATCTAAAGAGATTTTTGGGATTAGATAAGGAAGAATGGGTAATGTTAGCACGTATGAGACAGAAGAGGTGTCCGCAAACTGGAACCACCACGTGTTATCAACAACACGTGTGAGTCTCCATGAACTCTCTCTGCAATATTAAACGTGGCCTTGTTCGTGTCTTCTTAAATTTCTCCAATCGCTCTATTAATAAGAGAAGACGAGTTTTACTTTCGATATACATACTGTCTTTAACTATTCCGACACAACCAAAGCTTGTGAAAACGTTGTCGTTTGTAATGGCTGTTGTAGAAGAACCGATACTTTCAAGATTGGATCGTATTGATTTCATGGTGAGGAAGCTAGAGGAGATGAAAGGAAGCTCGCCGAGAAGCTCGAGCCCATCGACTCCATCTAGTGGGACTCAGCCATCGTCAATGGATATGTCGTCACCGAGGAGCATAGGGAAGGTACAGTGCCGTTCGATGGAACAAGTCATGGAGGAGACTGAGAGGAAAGGAACTTTGCTAGAAAGACTTAATAATGTAGAGGAGCAAGTTCTTAAGCTGTGTTCACAGTTTGAGGAAGAGGTTGAAGAAGAGAGGAAGAGAGAAGATAAGACGGATAAGGAGAAGAAGACGCCGAAGAAGAAGAAGGGGTTGAGGAAGCTAGTTGATAAAGTTGTTGGATCTTCTTCTCCGACTAATATCCATTCCAAGAGCTGGCGTTGTTGAGCCAATTGTAGTATTTTATTACCTTATCGATGTATACTTCAACGTACCACGTTTAAATTAAAGCTTCTCTTCCTTTTTTTTTTCTTTGTTGAAGCGCTTGTGAAAAATTAATCATCTAGGTTAATTTTGTTGAAGTTTTTGTTTGTTTAGTGTGAACTTTTTTCAATGAAACAATGGATTTTAGAAGGAAGAACAAGTACATATGTAAACGGTTAAAGAAAATGAAGATGGTGAGTGATCCATTTCCATAAACGTACCGACAATTTCTCAGCGAAGACTAAAAAGTTAAAAACCCAAGGTTTTGTGTAGAATAGAACGTTTTTGTTTTTGTTTTCCGGTTTTCCTTGCTTCCCGATCAAATTGTGGTGTCAAGATTTTGATCTAAAAATCAGAGTGTCATCATCGGATCATGACACTGATTTTCCGACACTTTCAACGTATTTTTTTTGGGTGTCTAAAGAGAAGAGATTTTATCATTTTCTTATCAAAAAATGTTATAAAAAGGTTAACAAATCTCACCTTGTGTTGTCCATGTTTACATAAATTTGTAAAGAAAATTAAAGAACAAGAAATATGTAAAGGTTTTCTCGTCAATGGGGTTTTGTAAGTGTGAAAAAAAACTATTTACGGAGTTCACTCAAATATTTGTTGTTTGACACTTCACACTTCAACCAATTTTTGTCTTTATAGGCTTGATTCTACATCAATCATTTGCATTCTTTTTTATCCACAAAATTGATTTGGTTATTATTCATCATCCGTTGTAAATTTGTGAAACAATTTTCGCCAACTATTTTTATTCCGCAAAACAGCTGACTTTATTTAAATTAATGTGATCTTTTTCACAAATTCACAAGTCACCTGCTGCTGGTGACGCAATTATCCATGTCTCTGTTACCATATCTCATGATCATAAATTGGAGTAACCATAAAGATGACATAGTGTTACTATCATCACCATCGTCATAATAATCATCAGACAACGACGAAGAAAAATCTTAAGTCTACTTTTATTAGACACACCAATCTGTGAAAATGGCGATTTAATTAATAATAATACGCTAAACTTTTTCTTAATCAATCAAAGAAACAAAAGAAAAACAATAAGACCACTTTTTACTTTTCCTCTTCTTTATGCAAAATTTGGACCTCGAATTTTCAAAAATTTCGACCTCCGATCTCCATCTCTCTCTTCTCTGCTTCCATCATCTTAGGATCTCTCAATTTCTTTCTTCACTGATCGATTAGGGTTTTCGAGCTGAAATCGTTAATCCTCCACCGCGAAGAAGCGACTACCTACTAGGTTTCTTCTAGGTTTTTGGCGGATCTAGCCAAGTTCTCCTTCTTTTTTTGTTTTTTTTCCAGCTCCACTCCTCCCTCGCCACCATGTTTTGGAAGCTCACATCTCTCTCTGCATCATCTCCTGTGAGTTGAATTTTTAGATGTCCTGTTTTATGGTTTGCTTATTAAGGAGCTGGAACGGTTCTCTGTTTGCGTTTATCTTTTGTCTACAGAAACTTGTATGCTTTAGAAGTAGATTAGACGTCACTGGATGGTTTCACGGACAAAATTAGTGGAGTTTCTATCCGCTGCTCTGCTTATTCATATAATTTTTGTCAAAGAGTTTTGGATTTGCTAGATTTCAATTCTCTGAATTATTGATTGTCTTTGAGTCGTGAATTGTGTATGTGTACCATTTTCTGCTTTAATTTTTGTTTCGTGGTTTGATTTCATATGCGTTCTACTGAAATCAGTCTAAATATAATTATCAAACCTAGCATAAGACTTGTTATACTTCTTTGAGTATGTTGTTGTCAATATCACTTGCCGCCAGGTAATGGAGATTTGGAATTGTTCATGTATTGATGTTCTTTTCCTCTTGTTATGAACATAGGTGGAGACAATATTAGACAAAGAAAATTTCACCTTGGAAGAGCTTCTTGATGAGGAAGAGATTATTCAAGAATGCAAGGCTTTGAATAGCCGGCTCATAAACTTGTAAGCTTTTTATAATTGGCTTATTTTCCTCATAATCCGTTTCATAGAACCCGATAAACCCTATGGTGGATGTCGAATCCTATGTCTTCTGTATCTGTGGGAGTTTTAGTTAAGGAGTCCCATTTTTCATCCGTATTTTCTTGGATAAATTTATTGATTGGGTTTTAATGTTTGCAGTCTAAGGGAGAAAGCTCAAGTGGAGCAATTATTGCGGTACATTGTTGAAGAACCTCCACAGGATGCTGATAGTAAACGTGCTTTCAAGTAATATGCTACCTTGAATTTTCTGGAATTACCTTGTTCCTTCCTTTTCTTTTATTCACTTTTATTTTGAATGGTTCTGGATTTGTTTTCTCTCTAGCTAATAATAGATTCTTTTTCTTTTAGGTTTCCATTCATCTCTTGTGAAATATTTACATGTGAAATTGATGTTATTCTAAAAACTTTGGTGGAGGACGAAGAGGTATTTTTCATTCATCATACTACCTTTTCCTCAAATAACAGTTCATACTTTTCACTTTTCTTTGCATCTGGATTATGTTTTATTGTTACCCTAGACCTCATTTGCTCGTATAATTTTACCTTGCAGCTGATGGACTTGCTTTTTTCCTTTCTGGAACCAAATCGTCCTCATAGTGCATTGCTGGCAGGCTATTTCAGCAAGGTACTCTCTCTTACGATACATAAGTTTGCGTATTAACCAACTTCCTGTAGTTTTTCTTTTGTTTTGTTTGTACCCGTACATATGACTTCATTTCAAGGCTCCGAGAAGTGACTCTTACTTCTCTCTGTTTGGTATAGGTTGTCATTTGCCTTATGATCAGAAAAACTGCAGCGCTTATGAATTATGTAAAAGTAAGTAATAACATATAGACGGATGGTAACCTTCTTCTTCTCTTTTTCCCTTGTTTGCGTGAGGTTCTGCAATTGGATTTTGGTTTAGTTGTTTAAATATATAGTTCTTACAAATCTGGGTCGATATGCAGGCTGAAATATAACTAGCTGGAAATTTAGATAATAATTTTTAAAAAAATATATATTATGGAAATTATATGAACTGATTAGAATTATGCAGGAGTACTGTAGAGTACGTCTTATTTTCTGCTAACTGTGCTATTCAGAATTGTTATTACTTTCCATTTTCGCAAGCCAGATGTCTGTCTATTTAGTAAATTGTTACAAGATGAGACTGACATGACTGTATACTTCAATTGCTGGCAATTATATTGATGTGACAGACATTTATTGAATTTTTTATTATTATTTTGCGTTGAAGAACCTACTGTGGCTACAGTTCTCAAAGTAACTTTTGATGATCACAGGGGCATCAAAATGTTTTCTGCCAGTTGGTTGATTTGATTGGGATAACATCCATCATGGAGGTAATTGGTTTGTCTTAGACTCAGTGCAACTTGGTGTGGTTTCAGAGGTCATTTTTGCTATGATATTTATGCGACATTTTCTAGGTTTTGGTTCGCTTGGTTGGGGCTGATGACCATGTCTATCCCAACTTTCTGGATGTGATGCAATGGTTGGCTGATAGCAATTTACTTGAAATGATCGTGGACAAACTCAAACCATCTGTAAGTGGTAAAGCTTTTCTATAATCATCCCAAAGACAAGAGGCTCTTGTTTTTCTCTTTGATGCTTGTAGGTAGTGTAAATCTAGGATATCTGGTTTGATATTACTAGTTTCTTCTATCATCTTCATTCTGATCTGTTTCTTGCATTACAACTTGTATCAGAGTCCTCCAGAGGTTCAGGCAAATGCTGCAGAAACATTATGTGCAATTTCTCGGAATGCACCATCAGCTTTAGCTACGCAGCTCTCTAGCCCTGGGTTTGTAATCTTTTCTTCCATGATGGATTCCTAAAGCTTTGGTAGATTGATACAGAAGTGTTTCACATGGCAGCACAACTTTTTCCCTGTTTTTGCAGCTATGTTGCAAAGATATTTGGTCATGCTCTTGAAGACTCGCATTCAAAATCCAGTCTAGTTCATTCACTTTCAGTATGCACCTCTCTGCTGGATCCGAGGAGATCTGCTGTTTCATCTTCTATGTTCAATTCTTATAGAGGTCAACATATGTTCGAGTCTCCTGTCCCAGTTTCCCCGGAAACTATTGGTGCCATGCTGCCCAAACTCAGTAAGTTGGATCCTATGATGTACTATCGTCACATGACCATCAAGATTATTATTTTTCTGGCTTTTTTTATTTGTTGCATGCACATAATCTAAGTGTGCACATGGGCAATAGTCAACCCTTTTCGTATGTAATATTACTTTCCATTTGCGAGGACACCTAGCGTATTTAGCATCTATCTGCACGTTCTGTTTGATCTTCCCTGCTCTCTATTTGGTCTGTTCTACTTTGGTCTATATTGATAAATTGAAACTGGTTTTACATAACTCTGGAATGCTTACGTAGCACTTCTTGGATATGTATGATACTGTTTCATACAAGTTTTTCAATCAGGGTTTATGTATTCAATGGTCCTCAGTAATATATATATTTTTTTTCTCTGCAGATGACTTGCTTATGCTTCTCACTGTCGCATCCGACAGCACAGTATTGCCTACAACATATGGTGAACTGAGGCCTCCTCTCGGAAAGCATCGTCTAAAGGTCAGGTCCAAACATTTGAGCATTTATGGAAGATATTATAGTTTTTAGGACATCAACAGTGCTTTTAATATATGTAAAATCTCTATACTTAATTAGACTCAGTTATCCTATTTTCTTTGTTTCAGATTGTGGAGTTCATTGCAGTTTTGTTGAAAACTGGAAGTGAAGCTGCACAAAAGGAATTAGTTAGTTCAGGAACAATCAAAAGAACCCTTGATCTGTTTTTCGAGTAGGTTTTGCTAAACTTCAAATGTTGTGATCTCCATGTGCTATTTCTATAAGATCTTTAAAAATCAAATACTGTCGACATGTGAAGGTACCCGTACAATAATGCTCTGCATCATCAAGTGGAGAGTATAATACTTTCTTGTTTGGAAAACAAGAGCGATTTGATGGTTAACCATATTCTTCGAGACTGCGATCTGATTGGCAAATTCCTCTCGTCAGACCGGGACTCAAACCTCTCAGTCTCAGGTGATAGCCAGGTATACCATTTGCTATGTTCACAAATGTTTTAACTGATCATCAGTATATGAAAGTGTCATCTTAATGCAGCTCCAAGTTAGCTCCAATAACTCATTGCTCCAATGTTCATGAGCTAAACGAATATTCTCTGGCATTTTCTTTTTCTTTTGTGTGAGGTAGCCCACTGTAGCTGCCTCCGGGAAAACCCCCCCTCGCGTCGGGTATGTTGGGCATATCACAAGAATATCAAATAAAATTGGTCAGTTGAGTAACAGCAATGGCCAGATAAAGGCATACCTTCAGGTTGGTATAAAAATTATACTATCTTGTGCCGTGTTGTTTTTCTTCTGCCGCTTTTTTGTCACTTTACACGCATAAAGAATGTTAAACCATTAGTTAAGTCTTGTGATGAGTGGTCCTAGCACTCTCTCGGAAACTATTATGTTTGCTGACTGTGCTCTGTTCATTCCCAAATCTTTAGGAAAACAGCGAATGGAATGAGTGGCAAGGTAGTGTTCTGCAGGAGCGCAACACGGTTGAAAATGTCAACAGATGGGGATGTGGGTATGTTAACCTCTACTCAACAATCATCTATAAACTTTTAATTGGTCAGTCTGCTACATCATGCTGATTATGGAATTAAAAAATTCATGTGTGATCCTTGTTCCTCTTGGCCAAAAACCCTCAAAGATGATTCTGCATTGATGACTGATGGTATCATAGTCAAATAATATTTCTTCTCATGATGAGACCACTCAGTTAATGCATCATGTCCTGGGTTTTGGATTTTATCTTCACTCTTCTTGGTTATAAAAATTCCTATACTCACTGTTACATGTAGGCGCCCGACTACCCTACAAGATAGGACAAGAGATAGCGATGAGGAAGACAGGGATTACGATGTTGCAGCTCTGGCCAATAACTTAAGCCAAGCATTTAGATACAAAATCTATGGAAACGATGACAATGAAGAGGTATGTTCTCATATTAGTGCTTTTTTCTTCATTTATGAATGATTTCCTGGGTACTGAATTTATCTGTCTTTATATTTCTCTGGTCAGGACCAAAATGCCCTGGATAGAGACGATGATGTAAGTCTTGCAAACATTCTCTTCCCCCCTTTTTTTGAAAAAATCAAGAAAACTATCGACATCTTTTATCACACTATGATACATATGGGGGATGTACGCTAATAACAGTTTGCTATTGAAAATTGGAATGTGTTCATACTATACAGGATGTTTACTTCGACGATGAATCCGCTGAAGTAGTAATTTCATCCTTAAGACTTGGGGATGACCAAGGAAGGTGAGTTTATCTTTTATTTTTCTACTGATACTGGTGTCCTCATGTCCTTGCTTTAACCTCCAGTTACTGTAATTTGGTGATAGGATTATGTCATCTCTCTTGACCAAAAAACGAATGATGACATCTCTCAAAAATTCAAAATAATGACTTAAATCTTTTTGGTACTTTGCCGCAGCTTGTTTACAAATTCGAATTGGTTCACATTCCAAGACGATAGATTCGGCAGCACACCCTCTGACACAGCGGGTTCGAAGACGTTAGAGGACGTGGAATTGAATAAAACCTTTAATGCCAACACTAGCAGTAGTGACGATGATGAGGTTGTGGTTGGAGAAGAAGACGATGATCTAACTGGAAACCCAAAAGACAACGCGTTGAACACAACTGAAACCAACTTCCAAATGGAGAGTCCACTAGATTTCTTCGACTTCAACACCTCAGAGAAAGCTGAAGAAGCTTTTGCTGAACAGCCACCCGAATGGGTCGGGTGGGGAGAACCTTCTGATATGCAAGCGAGTGGCACCGGTGGTCTGAACCCATTTATTGATGATGATGATGATGACAGCAAGAACATAATGAACCTCGACATATCAATGCCTGAGGTCAAAACCGAACCCATGATTCCAAACGGGTCAGAAAGATCATTATTTGATAAGGACGTGGAGTTTGTGGGAGTGGAAGCAGAAGGGACAGAGAAGGCGATGGAGCAAGCGATGAAAGAAGGGATAGTAGGGGAAGCTGGAGCAATGAAGAAGAACAAGGAGATGGCTGAGGACCCAAAGGCGGAGGAAAGTTCAGGGGGAGTGAAAGAGTTCAACGATAATAACTACTGGAAAGTGGATCAAGAAGTTGGAGTTTTGGAGTGAAAAAGTCAGTACCTTGTACAGTGTCATTTTGTGTGAGAGTATGATACAAAACTTGTTTTTAGTTGAAATTTGGTGGCATGTATCTTTTTCTCTTTTATCATTAGGCTTCTGTTGTTGTCAGCTAGAGGAAGTTGTCTGTGCTTATTTTACTTCGCCTACCACGAAGTTGTCCGTCTTTAAGGTATATTTGGACTCTTTTGCAGTTTAATTTCGTTTGACAAACATCAAACCATATATTAAGCCTAAAGTGCGAATATCAATGAATGAATTTGAAGTTATTCACTTCGTTTGAGCTAATGCAAGATAATAAGACAGACGAAAACTAGAAGATTATGGGATTGAAGTAAAAAAGAATAGGATTATTTCAAAGAACTAAAAAAAATAAAAAGAAGCAAACATTGGCTTCGCAAAAAAGAGAGAGATATAAGATAAAAACACATAATCAAACAACAATATTTAATATACCTAACTTCAACTAAACCCCTAAACTCTCTTCATCAGATTTGAAAACAGTCACTAACCCCTACTTTTATACCATATTCTTCCTTCACTTGAGTTCCCATTTCTGCGGATAAGAGACCAAACTTAAAACTGCTTTACCCTCTTGTCCTTATGCTCCGGATATCACTGCCCGAATCATGCTGGTATCAAACTGTTGGTCGTCCTTCCTTCTCATCTCAATGATCTTCTTGTGTGAGTTTGAATGCACCGATGGGATGAAGGTCGGGCTTGAGGCTGGTCGGTATTCTGGAACTAGACGACCAGATTTGAACCGGACCCCGCAAGCGTTGCAGAGGGTCTTCGGTCCACAGGGTCCTTCCCTCCACTGCGGGGTCTTGCTTGTCTCACAATGAGTGCATTTCCGGACTATCCCATCCGAGTTACTTGCCTCAAAACTGGAAGACACCGTGTGGGTGATCAGGTGAATCTTGTGTTTCTTCTTGGCATGTTGCTCAGAATAATAGTAACTTTCGGCTTCTGATTCGCCCGGAGTTGACTTATCAGGGTTTCTGGGCTCAAAGGGGAAAAGGTAGCTAAGTCTCAGTGTTGTGGGGCGTTTGCGCTTGGTTCTCATGCCTTTCACAGGGAAAGCCAATCTCTCAAGAACTGACACTGGACCTAAAGACTGAAATAGCTTTGAAACATTGATTCCAGGAGGCGCTGAAGATTGGCGGAAAGTGCTGTTGATGCCAGACAAGGCTTGAGAAGAACAGAACTGTTTCTGCACCCAGGAAACCAAACAAAGCAGATGAATTGAAAGTCCTGAAATAAATGAATGACTCAGCTATACCCTCTACATGAATGATGGTATAAACACAGCTGAAAGTGAAAGATTGACATCACTCAAATTATATGCAGACAATTTGAGATTAAATAGATGATTTACTCTATCTAATTGGGTAAAAATGTATCAAGTAAGTGATAAAAAAACAAAAAACTCACCATGTTCTTGCGAATGCCCACACGAGCGCCCGCGCCCTTGTCCTTGCGAATGGCAAAAGAGGTGAGCTCAGAAGGCAAAGCAGGGAACATATCCATGGGAGGAGGCTCAAGGTCTTGAAACCTGGCAACCCAATCTCCCTCAAGATTGGTGGAATCGATGTCTTCAAGTGGGCAATCAAGGTGATTGGTGAGACCATCAAAGAAATCACCAGAGAGAAGTCCTTTGAAGTGCTCCTCAGCTTCAGCTTCAGGTAACCAATTCATGCTATGCTGTCTACTGAAACCAAAAAAAGGTAAAGAGATTTGAAAATGAGACGTAAAATTCACCAAAAGAGAAACTCATATATATGCAGGATTCAAAAACAGCTCCATGTCCAGTTAAAAAAACTACAACTTAAAATTCAATTTCGAGGTTTCACAAAAAACCCTGACACAGACTTGAGTCATCATAATACTAAAGCAATGTCAAAGCGACAAACAAAGAGCAAAATTCCCCAACACATAACAAAGACGACAGTCTAAGGTAACAAAGATTGAAACAATTCCTTCCAAGAATTTATAACCACAGAGATAAGTGTCGGTCACAAGTTTTCCCACACCAACAAACATAGCAACCAAATAAAAACCCAGATAACAAATTTTCATTCCTACATTATTCGAAACACGCGAAAAATAAGGCAAACGTAACACAGGAAAATGCAACACTAGACCCACAAAAACAAAAAAGCTCTCCACCTAAAGAGAGAGAGAGAGAGAGATAGAGACGCGCGAACCTTGTAATATATAATTTGAGTACACAGAGAGAAAGTGAGAGAGTGAGAGTGTGTGGTGGTACGATGACGAATTGGAGTTGGTCTCAAATTGGGGATTTAGGGATTGAGCAGGTTCGTTCGAATTTGGGAGAGAAAGGTAGATGGATGTCTCGTCGTCATTTCATTCGTTTCAAATTAAATTAAATACGAGTAATAAATAATGCATACTACTATTACCATATGAAAATTAACTGCATATATTAAATAAGGTAAGTAAAATGCAAAAAAAAAAATATTAGTCAAATATTTTATCTGAATGGTTGAACTTGAACAGATGGGGATGTTAAATTCTGCTTACCAATCAAATCTACTAGTAAGGGCTATTTAAATGGTCAGTCAGTCTGCTACACATCATATGCTGATTATGGATGTAAAAATTCATCTTAAAAGATGATTCCGCATTGATGACTGATGATGGTAACGTAGTCAAATTATATTAGAAGACCACTCAGTGAATGCATCTTGAGCTGGTCCTGGGTCTTTGGATTTCATCTTCACTCTTCTTGGTTATAAAAACACTGTTACATGTAGCCATGAGGAAGACAGGGATTACCAACTTGTCCTGTCCGTCTTTAAGCTACATTTAAAGTCTTTTGCACTTCAGTTTTCCATCTGTTGAACATCAATCATCTCTAAGCAGCCTCAAGGGCCAACATCCATGACTGAATTTGAACTTATTCACTACTTTCTCTAGCTTTTTTTTTTTAAGAACAGATGAAAAAAAAGAGAAGATTATGGCATTGAAGAATAAAAAGAATAGGGTTACTTGAAAGATCGAAAAAAAAATAAAAAAAATAGAGCAAACATTGGCTTTCACCTGTTTCCTCTCATACACAGATGTCAGCCAAACATCTTCTTCTGCAAACATAATGCTCGCAAATTGAGAGAGAGAGATAAGATAAAAACACATAATGAAACAACAATATTTAATATCCCTAACTTCAACTAAACCCCTAAGCTCTCTTCATCAGATTTTAACCCCTACTTTTATACCATCTTCTTCCTCCACTTGAGTTCCCATTTCTGCGGATCAGAGACCAAACTTAAAACTGCTTTACCCTCTGGATATCACTGCCCGAATCATGCTGGTATCAAACTGTTCGTCGTCCTTCCTTCTCATTTCAACGATCTTCCTGTGTGAGTTTGAATGCACTGATGGGATGAAGGTCGGACTTGAGGCTGGTCGGTATTCTGGAACTAGACGACCAGATCTGAACCGCACCCCGCAAGCGTTGCAGAGGGTCTTTCGTCCTTTGGGTCCTTCCCTCCACTGCGGGGTCTTGGTTGTCTCACAATGAGTGCATTTCCGGACTATCCCATCCGAGTTGCTTGCCTCAGAACTGGAAGACACCGTGCGGGTGGTCAGATGGATCTTGCGTTTCTTCTTGGCATGTTGCTCAGAAGAATAGTAACTCTCGGATTCTGATTCGGCAGGAGTTGACTTCTCGGGCTTTCTGGGTTCAGAGGGGAAAAGGTAGCTAAGTCTCAGTGTTGTGGGGCGTTTGCGCTTGCTTCTCATGCCTTTCACAGGGAAAGCCAATCTCTGAGATCCGGAGTTCTGGGTGGAGAGAGAACCATAACTGTTCTCGAGAACTGACACTGGACTTAAAGACTGAAATAGCTTAGAAACTTTGATATCAGGAGGAGCTGAAGATTGGTGGAGAGTGGTATCAATGCTGGACAAGGCTTCAGAAGAACAGGACTGTTTCTGCACCCACGAAACAAAACAAAGCAGATGGATTAAAATTCAGGAATACATTCAATATGCACCAGCCAAGTGACACGAGATTATTCATAAATGACTCAGCTATAACCTCTACATGAATGCTGCTAATTATGGTTATAAACGCAGTGGGAAGCGAAAGATTGACATCACTCAAATTATATGAGTAAACTAAATAAGCAAGAAAATGTCAGGATTGTTTACTCAAATTGGGTAAACAAGTAAAAAGCAAAAGTGAAAGAAAAAAAGAAAGAACTCACGAAAGCAGGAATCATGTTCCTTTGAATCCCCAGACGACCTCCAGTGGCACAAGAGATGAGCTCAGAAGGCAAACTAGGAAACATATCCATGGGGGGAGGCTCAAGGTCTTGAAACCTGGCAACCCAATCACCCTCAACATTGGTGGAATCGATGTCTTCAAGAGGGCAGTCAAGGTGATTGATGAGATCATCAAAGAAATCACCAGAGAGAAGTCCTTTGAAGTCCTCCTCAGCTTCAGCTTCAGGTAACCTATTCATGCTATACTATATCTACTGTACCCAAAAAAAAAAAGGTAAAGAGATACGACAATGAGTCATCATAATACGAAAGCAATTTCAAAAGGCGAAAAAAAAGGAGCAAATTTCCCCAACACATAACAATGACGACATTCTGAGGTAACAAAGATTGAAACAATTCCTTGTGAGAATTTATAACCACAGAGATAAGTGTCGGTCACAAGTTTTCCCACATACCAACAAAATAAAAACACCCAGCGAACTAATTTCAATCCTACATTATCACGATAATAAGGCAAACGTAACACAGGAAAATGCAACACCAAAAAAAAAAACCTGAAGAGAGAGAGAGAGAGAGAGAGAGAGATGCACGAACCTTGTGATATACACAGAGAGAGAGAGAGAGAGAAAGAGTCGTACGATGACGAATCGGAGTTGGTTGGGGATTTAGGGATTGAGCAGGTTCGAGAGAAAAAAAAAAAAGCGACCGGAGAAACAGAGAGAGAGGAGGGAGAAAGGTAGAGATGGTGTGTGTTTTCAATGTCTCGTCAGTTTCATTCATTTAAAATTTTTAAATAAATAATTATGGAAACTGCTTTTTTACATTTCTTAACTTTAAAGAAAATCCTTAATCAGTTTCTTTGATCTTAACAAACACAGAAATAAAATCTCTATCGACGCGTTTTACTTCAAAAATTTTTTACATATGTAACTCAATAAATATTGTATTAACCGAAGCAATATTTGTAATCCATTCTAATTGAAACGTTGCCCTAATAAACTTGTCGTGCTACTGTAACATCATTACTTCTGCAGTAAATAAAGATATTATTGCCATTAAAGTATTTGAATAAGGTAAGTAAAATGAAGAAAAATATTAGTCAAATATTTATCTGAATGGTTTTAAGGAATATATGTCGGTGTAAGACCAATCATAAAAAGGATAAAAAAGATTTGCCAATTTTAACATGGTAATACTATGTTGACATAACAATTAAAGATGGTAATATATACTTAATGGTCAAAAGAATTAAATATAGAAATGATTGCGTGGAACATATTTAAAAGATAAATAAGAAAAGGCACATGCAAAATCAGGTGACAAAAAAAACCTTGAGGAAGGATGGTTCGTAGATCTCGATCTATAACATTATTATTCATGATATTTAATTTATTTAGCAAACAAATAAGTTGGGGTAACATTTATACTAATAAATAAAAAGAGTCAATGTGAAATGGAGAGATCACCGACGGGATTAAGAGATGAGAACCGAAAAAATATAATAATAATTATGGAGTTTCCTCATGGGAAAGTGGGTCCCTTGCCTAACTCTTTGCTTCCATCTTCCACATGATATGTTCTTTTACTTACTATCCCCTTCAATTATTTTTCTTTCTTTTTTTTTCTTAAATACAAATTTAATATCACAAGATCTTGATATTTCTTCTTATATGATTTTTCAAAAATATTGTCTACACTGCGTCGTTGATAAGAAAACAAATATCATGTGGGGGTATATTTACTGCTTTTGTACAATTTGTTATTCACTTCATTTTTTATAGATTTGTACACACACAATAAATAAATATATATGGATTGTACTTTAAATTGCACTCAGTCAATCGCGTGAAAAATGGTATCAGTCAAATTCAAAACTATAGTGTACTTTGCAAAAAAAGTGAAATCTTATTAACTTTAATTCTTATTGGTTGCTTGCTGTATAAAAAGGTTCTTATAAAATCCTAGTGTTATGAATTTTGACAGCTCACTTTTATCAGTAATCTAAAATCCTTTATAACATATAAGTGTATGCCTATATTTAAAAAAAAAAAAAAAAAAAGCACTCGTTTTTGTGATTTTGCCTGTTTTTTTTTTTTTTAAAAGAAATAAGATAGAAAGGTTTTTACTTGTGACTTTCCCTTTTCACCTGTAAGGAAGCGCAACACCCAAAACTTTTTCTTTTCCACGAAAAGTAGAAAAGAAAATACAGAGAATATTACAAATTGGACCCCAAAAGCTTCTTCAAATTGCTGATTTGGCCCAAATAAAGTGACTAGGATCAAATCTTAACTTTAGAGGTTCTTCTTCTTCTAGCGTTTACAAATAGAAAGAAGAGGAAGATCAATAAAAGCATCAAGGCCACTGGTACGAACTTCCATAGCTTCTCTTCACCCATTTCTCCGAAAGCGCTCTTTAACTCACTCGGCAGATCAACAATGCTTCTCTTAGACTGCAAAGACAGACACATTGTGAATATAATGAAAACAAAAAGAGTTAAGTCTCATATCAGATACAAAAGGCGAAATGACTTACAGTTGATACCAACTTATTCGACACTAATTCATGTTCTTTGGCAAAGATTTCTTTTGCATACTTGTAGAGCTCCACATCGAGGTTGTTAAGTGATTTGATCTGCTGAATGACCTCTTTAGGAACTCTTGTACGTGTCTGTTAGATGCATTGTCAACAGATTTAATTATTTAGGCCTTCTATCATTAACTTTACTGAGTTTGAATCGTGTACAAAATCACTTTACCCCTCTGGTAAAATTTGCTGGAGAAATTCTCTTCAAAGAGTTGACCCGTCTGGTTCCTTGGGACTTCCGTAAATGAGTGATGCAGCCTTCATAGACTTCCATAAGGGTTTTTACCGTCATCTGAAGTGTATCAATGGATATAAAATCACAACAGGTCACAAGTGTTGATAATAAATTGGAAAAGGAAATCTACTTACATTTCCACTCTTAGTTTCTGTGTTATTCAATGCAACTTCAGATGTACCATTCTGCAATATCACAATCAGCAAGAACATTACAATTGACAGTTAAACAAACAAATTATTACCTTCTGCAGCAGGACTTTACCTGAATATTACTCTTATCTGACCCCGATTCTGAAATTGTGACACTTGCTTCTGAAGCATCAAGAAAATAAAGTTGAGAATTTGGTGAGTGCAAGTACAACCATTAGTTATCCTGACTTTAGATAGAGCAAAAGCAATTGAAAGCCTGGGCTGTATGCACATGAACTCTCATATCATCATTCTACTTACTCTAAGAGACCATGATTAACCACCAAAGAAACATTAATAAACCCAGGGACCCAGAAAAACAAGACACAAGTCTCAAACAAAAGAGGGCAAGAGAACCTTTAAAAATGATGTGACAACAAGAAACAAACGATAAAAGACAATCAAACCTTATACGATAATCCCCATATAACAGAACACATAAAGATGAGCAGATGTAAGGAGGGAAACAACAGTGTTCAGAATACAGGAAAATCAAGACTAAGCTCTTGAATGGAAAGATTTATTCGAGTTCTTTCTGTAAGTTTCTCAATTTTTACTTTTTTACTTTTTAGAGAAACTTTTTTTTTTAGATTTTTTAGTTTCTTTACTGAAATAAGAGAAGTAGCTTTCCTAAGTCACTAAAAACAAAATATTAAAAACATTTGAATGAATGATATGATGAGTTTTGGACTTTTAAAAACCAAAACTAAAGTAAAAACCATCCACAGTCAACACCTAAACTTTACACTGTGACTACAGAATGATCACCATTACCATCACTCTAAGTTGCTAGGTTCTCCTCAGACATAACAGCAATAGTATCAAGAAAATTTATAGGTGAGAAACTTGCACCAACCTGATCTAAGGGTTTTGGTTTTCGCAGTTGCATTGGACGGAACCACTTGAGACAGCACTTGAGAACCCACTACATTGGCAAAAAGTGATGCAGATTCCCTGTGCTCCTCTGTCAGTCCAACATACAACATGTTGTCCAGCCTCCTCTGAAAAATCAAAAAAGGCTTATAGAATCTGCTGATTTGAAAAGAAAAATACCAAGACGCAATAATTTATGATGAAGAACAAGTGTTAGTACCTTGGCAACTTGGAGAACAGGCTCACCAAGGCTTTTGAACTTCTGCACACAATGCCGAACCTCATGTGCTTCTGATAAATGGGAGTTATTTGTCAATCCTGCAATCTGTGAAATGAAATGAAAATGCTCTGGAGATCTCTAATCAATAATTTGACAAAGCAAAACAAACAACATGAAAAAAGTACCTGAAATGTCGCTCCATTGTGGATTATGTCATGAGCAGTAGGCGCATCAAGATATTTGTGCAAAGGCATAAGCATCTCCTCCATGTCATATGGGTTATCATCCTCAATGATAACTACGCCCTTAACTTTCCGTGCATCTCGCTAAGAAAGGCCAAGCATGAGTAACAACCTTCAGTCAATAGTTTTATGTGCTCTTATCATGTATGAGCTTAAAGGCCATATATGCATGCAACAAAAGAAGACGATTGGGACTGGTCGACATACCCGAGCAAACAGGTCTTCTCTCATCCATGGAACTAGGTATTTCCATGGCCATATGTCTAGCGTGCTTATTACATTACTCTTGCGTATGCGGCTAGACATCCTTGACGCAGAAGTTAAATTGGGATGCACCAGAAACCTAGCTGCTACCTCTACTGAAAATTCATAAGTGCTTAACACACGCGCAATAGGATCCCGAACTATTGTCATCACCGAAGTTCTCTCCCTCGGAAGCTTTGCCATCAAACTATAATCATCATGTGTGGCCAACAACTTGCACTTTTCCTTCCTGTAAATTTACGAGTCAAAATGATCTTAGCTGTCGGAAGGTAGTAACACCACAGGCAGAATACTAATTTCTTATCATTCTTTCTTAGGTAAAGGAGGCTAGGGGAAAACTGATGCTACAATATTTAAGAAAGGTTAAATATCGAGTCTACTGATCAAATGTATGGCTAAGCTATCTAAAAGTCAGCATATCAACCTGTAAGGCATAATTATCAGCCATCTTCTTGTCTCCACAAGAAAGAGTCTTTGACGTCAAATAAAGACATAAAATTAGTGTGAGAAGAGATGGAAGAAGATACCTTGGATTGAAGTGGAGCTTGTCATAAGATCGAGGACATTCCTCAGAGCTATCATACAACTTCCTCAAGAAACTACAAGAGCACAACACAGAATTAACCACACCGATCAAAAAAAGAATCTTTCAATTCACTCAAAAAAATTTTGGTAAAGGGAAATAAAATCACCAATGAAAATATGTCCTGCCTCCAGTTCGGGGAACATGGAGAAAGAAGAGCAAATCCTGAAGCGAGCGTTTGTCTTTGTTGACATGTTCTTCACGAGAAGAAGAAGAATCAGCCCACCTTTTCACAAGTCTTTCGCAATGACCAAAGTCAAGTTCCGCAAAAGAGCCAATAACTGATATATATATAATTTGCCAATTACAAGAACATCAGAAACAAGTCCAGCTTTTATATCAATGAACAAATCCAGCACAAAACCATTCTCTAAATACCTGAGCCAAGAAGTAATAACCCAAGAGCCAGCCTCCAAATAGGATTCATTTGCATTGTGCCTCAATTCCAAACCCTACTGATTACCAAAACGATTATTTTTTTAAAAAAGGATCAATCTTTATTCGAAACAAACAAAACCCAGAAAGGGAAAAAGACTAGGTCGTCAATCGCTGAGGATGAACAATACGGTTATTAAGTTGTATAAAACAAAAGTGAAAGATTTTGGAGAAGGAGACACAGAGGAAAACAGGGCAAAGGGGACCCAGAAAATCGAAGGAATTGAATAATGAAAGGAACAAAGGAACAAGAGAGAGAAGCAGAGGCCTACGTGTATTGGGAATCGAGATCTCGTGCTCATAAATTCCCTCGATCGCTGTTTTGGGGGCAAAACTCGCTATCTACTAGGTCCTACGAAAACAAGGAAAAGATGTGTGTTTTTTGTGTCATTACATCGATTGGAGGAGGAAGAAGAAGAAGAAGAAGAAGAAGAGAGATTGTGTGCGCTCCCGAGAGAACAGGGTCACGAGATTTTCTCTTGGTTTCTCGAAAATTATCAACTTTCGGAAACGCACACTGAGGAAGACACTAGTGCGAAATTTTGATTGAGCCAAAACGAATCAGAAACAAGTTTTTTTTTTTTATATACTAATTAATTCTTCCGAATCAATCGAGACCAATGCTATTTTTTTTTTTTTTTGATTATGAATGAATGCACTTTCCCTTTTTGATTCGAGTGGGGTTTGACCTGTGCATATTGTACATAATAATGGCTAACTTTCAAATTGTCAAAGAAATATTACTACGTTGCCGTTTACACCAAAAAATAATCCATTTGTGACCTTCACTCACTTTCGACTTTGAACAATGTTTTCATACGTTTGAACAACATTTTGATTCCTTTTGAACATTGAATAACTCGATTCGTTTTTATCGTTGTAATTACCGGTTATCGGAAAGAAAACTGATATCGGTAAACCGTTGGTAGAATCGGTTCCAAAACATGGTAATTTTTTCAAGGTTAATGTTTTGTTCTTCACTTCTTTTGGCCTTTTAGTTGCGTCTTGGACCCTTGGCCTTGTAGTTGCGTCTGGTGGCATTTAAATCACTCTTTGTCGGTAAAAAGACCTCAAGGACGAAACTTATAGGGTCATGGTTATGACTCATTTTCCTCTTGGATTAACACATTAGTGAAGTCTGCATAAGATTGTAGTTTTATTAACTACAAATGCATAGTATATGAATCTTGGTGTAAAAAAAAATTCTAAGTCATTGTTTCAATTCAATCATTTGTTCATAGATTTTTATGAGCATTAAAGTTTTCCGTTGAGATTGAGAGTTCAATCCTGACAGTGGCCATACTTTATGCTTACTGTTGTAATAAGGCTTGAAGTCTAGACTTTATTTGCTTTCAAGTAAAGACCAGACTTGTCTATAAAAAATGTTGTGGGTTCGTATGTCTCATGCTGATGGCGGTTGCTGTCTCCTTTCAATCTTGTCATCGTTCCATTCCTTTTGCGATGACTTGTTTGTTTTGATCTATACAATAGAAAAATATCTTTTTATTTTCTAATGAAATTTGTTGCCATGTTTATTTTATTTTTTATTTTTTTTTTATTTTTTTTTTTGTCATCCGAAATTAATTAGAGCTCAAAAGAGCCATTCCTGAGGAATGTTGCCATGTTTATTGTAATCCTAAAATATCAATAAATATGTAATTAACTAAAAATATATAAAAATTCCTTTAGAGATAAGTATTACCTCAACATGTTTCCTATAAATAACAAAGTAATTATTACATTAACTAGTATGCTAGATTTGTTTTTATATATTACTAATTATTGTCATTGGGATTGAAATGTCCTAAAATGAGTTTTTTTATAAAAAAAAATGGTGATGACAAAAATCATCAATGGTTGTAGATTTGAGAAATACAGTAGTATTATAAATGCTTGGAAAAACAAATTCTAGAAGGATAATCGTAAACCTTTGTGTTAAATCTTCTGGTTTGAAAGAAGGTTTGAGATATTAATAAAATTGGGTCTGATAAGTGAATGTGAATGGGCCGTGAGAGTGATTTAGTCTTATGTTTCTCCGCTTATCGTTTTCTCAAGATTATAAAAATATTAAAATCCCTAAAAAAGGCGCAAATAAAAAACAAAAAATTGCTGTCAAAGAAAAAAGGAAAAGATAAACAAGAAATTACAGACCTCACGAGTCAAAGGTATAGAGATTTTCTCACTCTTTGAATCTTTTCTGAAGTATCCTCACTGAGAAAGTGCCATAACTTTAATAAATTCGGATGATTTTGTATCATCTAATTCTGTCGTGCAATCTTTTTTGTCCTTTAGATAAGATTTTATTTATTAATGGCATCACGATATGCGACTCCATGTTTCTTCTCGTACTTAACGCAATTTTTAAAATAGCTTAGGGGTATTATTCAATAATCATGGATTTTAAACTTGTTGCTTCCTTTGGTTTCGTTTACAAGGGCTTTGTCTGAATAGTTATGTATGGTTTTACTGTTTTTTCCCAGATATTGTGACACCATCACCATGGACTATGAAGAAAACTCCACTGAAGGAACATCAGCTTATGTGGAACCCATAGCTCCTCTGATCTCTAAAGGAGACAGTGGAATCATTGCAATATCTCCACTCTGTGACCACTACAATGATCAGATGAGGATTGATTCTCTTACTACTTGTTCCGATGAAGAAATCATCGAGTCTTTGTATCAAAACATCTTTAGTATTGTTCTCTGCCTTCAAATAGAGGAATCTGGTTGTGGTTCTCACACACCTATCTCTGCGCCTTGCCCTGGAGCTCCCATGAAGCTTACCAAGTTATCAAGAAACATCGATCCAGGATTCCAACGAAAACTCTTCTGACATGATACAGCTTTGTTGATCGATTTCTAACATTGGATTTAACTTTCTTGCACAAGACTTTGTGGTTAATTGTGTACTCTCTTGGGGAAAATAGTTGGTGTTGTATTTGTGTTCATGTGTATTGTGTAGTTTGGATTGTGATCAATCTGGTAATGCCCACTAAAGAGTATTTTGCATCTAGAAAATATCATCAATGGAGTTGCAAGATCAGGGAATAAGAAAAGATCTTAGGTAAAAGCTAATAATGTAGATACATCTGAGATGTTTTAAGCTAAATAGGGGACTACATAGATCTCTCTCCTCACACTCGATCATGGAAACGAAAGCTTCATTTACAGAGACAGAGTAAGAAGAGGCCCCAATTATTCTTTTACCTTGTGTTGTTCCATGTATGCTTTATCTGCTTCTGCCACGCGATTCTGGAACATCGACCATTCGTTTCTGCATCTCTCTCTCACCTGAAACCGGAGATAACACACACACACTGAGGTTGTCAGGAGGATAGAGAAGCAGGTTTATATTAGTAAAGTATAATAATGTGTTCTAATTATTACCCCTTGCCATGGAGATTTCCCCTTCTCCGACTCACCCTGTCAAAATTTCATTATTGAGTTGAGATCATTCAGATATATAAGCGCAGAATCTCTTCATTGCTCAGAGATAAATTGTAAAATCACCTGACTTCCAAGGGAAGGAATCACTTGATGGATAATCCACTGTGAATCTACCACACCAATCTTCTCATGAGCAGGCTGCAAATGGAGGAGACCACATACAGACGGAGACTTAACAAGGAGAGTTCATGAGATAAACAAAGCCCCAAAGGAAGTACACAGGAAGCAGAGGGTAGTAAATAACCTCAACGCATCGTCTGAGAGCAAAATCGAGACCCCATCCATGAACAAGATCATTCTGCACCAGAAACAAACAAGGTTGTTTTTAAGCTACCAAAGACTATCAGAAACCAAAGTAGATTCAGCAATGCCATATGTTCTAGTCATGTGACTACGATGTCTGGTCGTCAAAAGGGTGACCAAAGATAAAACCTGAATCATATGCCATACACATCGCCATGCTTCTCTAGAAAATACAGGTGCCATAATCTCAACAAACCTGCAAGTGGGAAAACACACCTGTTATCGAAAAATGATATAAGCACTCTTCAGTAGGTTAGGCAAAGAGAGAGAATGAGAGAAAGAGTGTACAGAGCCTTACGCAGCACATGGAGGTAAATGTGGATCACTGCACCATCCTGGTTTTTCCTTAGTTTCTCTGTTCACCACTCAAAAACCTTAGAGACAGATTCGAATTCAAAGGAAAGGTAAAAGAGGGAGAGAGAAAGCTCCTACTTGTGGACATCTCGGTCACCTCTCCTCTTTGTCATTTCCCATGTAAGTCCGTTGTTTGGCTCTAAGCCTGGTTGAGAAATCTCCAAACCATGCTTCTTAACTAACTCAATGTACCTGAAAATTAACAATATAAATTGTAAAGATTGTCACTGATCTGCAACTACAGTTCCAAACAAGTAATTCACCTATCTGCATTGAAGTGCTTGACTCCAAGATCTTCATCCCATATAAATATATACTCATAAGCTGAGACAACATCAGGATGCAAAAATCTCTTTGCATACCACCTGCCAAATATAAACAGCTCAAGGTGGGGATTTTTTCGATAAATTTTCATGACTTTTAGAAGAGTATATCGTGCTGACCTAAATTTCAGATTTCTTACCATTTTGTTTGCTTTTTTGCACTGATATGTATTGCGTTTTTGGACCACTCAAACTGGTCCCACTCAGTTGTCCGGCCATCATAATGGAATAGCAAGATTTGGAAATCTTCAGAAAACTGAAGCAATGATGATGATGAAAGCACAAATCTTAGTGTCGATACTCAATAGTATACAAACAAAGAATTGTATAATACTGACAGCATGAGGAGGGAAATTGTTGCAGAACCTTCAGAACAGCTGCATTAATGTTGTTCCTCTGCTCTAATCCAACGGTAAAAGTCACGAGATACTTTGGCTTCTTCTTCAAATCCTGCAGAGGTAATGCTTTTGTTAAGGAAATCTCAATCACTCTATTGTTAGACTATGCCAATTGTGTACATGTTGCCACAACACTTGGTACATCAATAAGATCATAGAACTTACTTCACTAGGTTCACCCCATAATCTGCGCAAGTAAAAATCTGTTTCTGCCACTATAATCCCTGGAGGAAGTAGTTCTGCACCATGTGGATTGGTTGGAACATATATCTGGAAACATAGAAACAGAAATGATACATTTGATTATCATGAAAAACAAAAGAAGTGCCCTGCCTCATAAGTTTCTGTAATATTATGTTGAGTCAGTACAAAGATGGTTCTTGAGATATATATACCTTGGGAGACTTTCTTGAACCAAAATCTTCAGGTGATCTGCCACCAGAAAACAATTTCCCATCTGACATGGCTACATCAAGAGATGATATAAGGCCTGAAGGTAAGCTAATCTGCAGAATACAAAATACATCAACAGGTGAAAAAGAGACGTAAAAGGAAGATATACCTATGGATCCCCAACCTCGTATACCTTTCTAAAGGCACCTAATGGTAATGTGATACCAACAAAAAACCCAAACACCATTCCTACGATTGTCGTAATGATAAGCTTTGCATTTTCATTTGTCCTTCTGGGAGCACCACTGCCAAAGATTAGCGTTTCAGTAATTTGTCAAACTGAAAGCAGTTCAGAATTCGTTTATTACATCGAACCGCTAAGAACTATTACCTCCGGTGCATCGTCCCCATCGGATTGCACAATTCTCAAACAATACTGCAAAAACAAACCTAAATTCAATCCTTAAAGAAAATCTTCAAGAACTGACGAAAGGTTCTTTCTTTTGATCACTAAACAATCCTGGAAGATTACATACACAGCAATAAATAGGAAAAAAAATAAAGAATTTAAAACATTTCTCATTGACCTAATTGATTTTAGAAAGCATAACCGTCCAATTTCTTAAATAGCTGAATAATTAACCAGTCGCATTTATAGAAAACAAACACAAGTTCATCAGAATTTTACAAATGATTTTTTCAATAGTCGAAACCGACAGCTATAATTGCCAAAAAAAAAAAAAAAAAATGTCGGTGTAATAATCGACATGAATAATCCAAAGACATAGATTCAAAATTACTTCAACAACAAGGCCGGATCAACATCTAAACACCCATACACAGACGAAATCGAAATCCGGCACAAATGAGATCAATTCCCAAAAAAAAATATCAAAAATGAAAGGGAAATGCGATAATACTTACAGAGAGATGAAATTGAAAGATTAGGGTTTTGAGTGTCTTGTACGATCTCGCAGGGCTTGTGAAGAAAGAAACACTGAGGAGAGAAATCGACCCGATTGTTTTGTTTTTCTCAGGTGAATTAATTTTTGATTTTTGGAAGAGCCCAACGCTTTTTTTATTTTGTCAAAAGCATCACCTAAATATGTGCATACGTGGCTTCCTATCTTTTGATTTTTTTTTTGGTCTGTTAATAGGTGTTTAATTACAACATCATTCCATGATATTTCCAAAACAAACGACGAATCAAATAGTTCCAAAAATAAGAAATCAAATTAAACAAATTTTTAGAGAAGAAATGTAGTAATAAAAAATGTAGTAATAAGAAAACAACGATAAAAAAAAAAAAAAAAAAAGATAAAGATAAAGCAACAAATCTCGAACGGATAACCAGTAAAAGCCATGTCCCCGGTTCAGACTGAACCAACTGAATTTCTCTCTAAACACTCACCAAACCAGCAAATCACAAAACCCATTTTATTATTCTTCCAGCTTTGGTCTCCAAGAGCGGGGGATGGATTTAGGGCTTTCGATCCTTCTGAGACTTATTCACCATACGAGCCATTGCAGACGTCTGATAACCCATTCCCCCTCCTCCTCCCATTCCCCTGCTACGAGCAATACAACCTACTTTGGTTCCACAAGCCACTGCTCTTTGAGCCGAAAGAGAGCTCATGGTCGAGTACATGTAAGCTCTCCCTGATCCTTCGTACATCATCTGGCTCCCCATCCTTTCTTGCAATTTACTCAATTCGGCCGACAGTGATTTACAAAGCCCATCACCCGACCGCGCAGACGCTGTCTCCGATAATTCTCTCTCACACTTTTTAAGAATCTCAACTGCCACGCTCAGATTACCCCCATCGGCTAAATCTCTAGCCTCTGACATAGCTTGTGCAACAAGAAACCTATTTAGTTCCCTGTCGACCTCTATAGACACCACTTCTTCTCCTGTTACTTCCATTGGCCTTTGGATGCTTAGTTCTCCAGCTTCCACACGGACTATCTCTTTCGTAAAAGGATCTTTGTACACGCATCTAACCTTGAGCAACGACAGGGAATCGGATGCAGCAGACACATTGTCGCAGCACGGGATTCCAAGAATCACCAGCAAGTCCCTTTCTTCTTCTGCGTACATGGCTCCCACATCGATTTTGGCACTTCTCTCATCAGATGCTATACGGCTTTTGTAGCTTCCTGATTTTATGGAGGATATTTTCAGGCCCTGCTCATGAACGCATTCTATTTCGACAACTTGATCAAGAATCACGACGCTGAGAAGCCCTCCAATGCACTGCGCAAAAGCATCCTGAATCATAGTCTCTGCTTCGATGAACGAAAACGTCCCACTAGACGCTGCTGAAATTGCGTTCAGTAACTCAGCATCGTGATCTGAGCCAAACCCGAAGGTATGAGTTGGAATCCGAGAAGAACTCGGAAGCAAAGACTCATAATCTGTTCTCAGACGGACCCTATCATGAGAAAAAGTATAGTTGTCCTGTCCATCAGACAAAAGCATCATCCCCGAAACAGGGTTCTTCCACCGCCTATCCTCAATCACTCTCGCACCAATCTTGAGCCCCTCTGCAATGTTAGTCCCGCCACGAGCAACCAAGGAGTTAACAGCCTTCATCGCCGCTTGCTTTCGCGTCTCAGACATCAGTCGAAGAGGAAATAGTCTTTGAGCCGTGGACGAGAAGGAAATCACAGAGAGCCTATCGGTCTCACCAAGATTCTGAATCACAAAACCCATTGCCTTTTTCACAAGCTCCAATTTGACTCCTGCCATGCTACCACTCACATCAAGAACAGCAATGAGATCCAAAGGAGCTCGAGTGCGCCTTTCATCATCACTCACACCCTCCGCCTTAAGATGAACCAGCGCAGCAAAATCACCACGACTGACCGGTTTGGCCAGAGCAGAGACTTCAGGGAAGAGTTTAATCTCGAGGGCTTGACGATCAGAAGGATGATCAGCACTCTGGATTTGTGTCTCTCCGTGAGGTAAAGACTCATCGTCTTCAAAACCCATTTGAGCCGGAGCGAAAGGGTTACCATGAAACAAAGGGACTTGTCGGTTACCATGAAACAACGGGACTTGTTGAGGCTGAGGGAAAGGGTTACCATGAAAGAAAGGGACTTGTTTCCATTGAGTTCTGCATAAAGGGCAAATCCTGTTTCCGTATCTGACGTTGGAGTTTATGCAATCGAAATGAAACGAGTGAGAGCACTCTGCAGTAAATATAGCCTTCCCGTCTCCCTTTTTCATCTCATCCAAGCACAACGCGCATGTACTCTGCAATTTTTAGATTAAAAATAAAGTTTCTTACCACACAATCTTAAAATCTTTAATCTTAAAACCTAAACCTAGTTGGTAACAACAACAACAATAACAAAAACCCTAACCCTAGAGTATTGACTATTTAAACCCATTCGATGATAAATTTCGCATCACCCACATAAGAAAAAAAAAAAAAGGATTGGATATTTGAATTATTGAGAGATATTACCTTAGAAGAAGAGGAAGGAGTAGACGAAGTGGGAGGAGAGGAAGCATCGGGTCCGGTCGAGTTTTCCTGAGTTTCCTTCTCCATCTTTTCGCTTTCCGAGTTCATTATTTTTGTCAAGAAAACCTAGAGGGGCGTCTCAAAAACTTCTTGTTGTATAAACTTAATTTCACGTCTATTGACCTTTATATACAACATATAGACCGACTTATAGCTTTCCTATATTTTGGAAGATTATATAATCTAAAAGGATATTTAGCAATTTCTATATTATTAATTAATGATTAAAGGAAATATAAAGGGATATATGGAATAATGGAGAAGGAGGAGAAAACAGTTACCAAAAATTAAATTAAATTGAATAAGTACCAATCAATAAAAAAAAAAAAATCCAACCGAATAAACCCTTTTACTAATGATTTTGGATATTGCATTCGATTTCCTAAGTGAAGATGGAGGAAAAAAGAGAATGAATACATGGTATATGTGGATGGAAAATGAGAAAGAGGTTACAAAAAATGATAAATTTCATTAATTAAGTACCAAATCAACCAAAATAATAATAACAAAATAATCCAACTGAAATTACCTTTCTACTAAAGTTGTTGACAAAAAAAAAAAATACTTATCCTTTTACTAATGATTTTTGGATTTTGCATTAGAAGATAGTGAAGATTTTATGAGTTATAAATCTAAAACTTGAATTGACATATCTATGCATTGGACCCCAAGAGATGTGCTACGACAACTTATATCTGTAACAAAGAATGTTCCATTATAAATTTATACAAATTCGCAATTAAACCAAATAAGACGCTACAAATTTCAGCGACAAATCTTAAACAGAACTAACCCATATTGTGCTTAAGAAGAACCAGTAGAAACAATGTCCCCGTTTCAGACTGAACCAACTCAATTTCTCTCTTCACACTCACCAAACCAAAATAAAACCAAACCAGCAATCACAATAACCCATTTTATTATTCTTTCTGTCAATTTCTCTCTTCAGCTTTGGTCTCCACGAGCAGGGGACGGTTTAGTAGGGCTTTCGAGCACCAGTTGCTGAGACCGAGTCACCATACGAGCCATTGGAGACGTCTGATAAGCCTGCACCGAGCTAAAACCCTGGGTCGAGTCTCCACGAGCCGTTGCTCTTTGAGCCGAATGCGAACTCATGCTCGAGAAGGCATAAGCTCGCCCTGATGTTCGGTACATCCTCCTGCTCGTCATCCTTTCTTGCAACGCACTCAACTCGGAGGATAGTGATTGACAAAGCCTGTCACTGGATCGAGCAGACGGTGACTCCGACAATTCCCTCTCACGGTTTCTAAGAATCCCAACTGCCGCGCTCAGGTCACCTCCATCCGCTAAAACCCTAGCCTCTGACATAGCTTCTGAAACAAGGAACCTGTTTAATTGCCTGTCAACCTCTATGGATACCACTTCTTCTCCTGTAAGCTTCATTGGCCTTTGGATGCTTAGTTCTCCAGATTCTACACGGACTATCTCTTTCGTCACAGGATCTTTGTAGACGCATCTAACCTTGAGCAACGACAAGGATTCAGATTCAGCAGACACATTGTCGCAGCACGGAATTTCAAGAATCACAAGGAAGTCCCTTTCTTCTTCTGCGTACATGTCTCCGACATCGATTGTGGCGGTTCTTGCATCAGATGCTATACGGCTTCTGTAGCTTCCTGCTTTTATAGAGGATATTTTCAGGCCCTGCTCATGAATGCATTCGATTTCGACAACTTGTTCAAGAATCACAACGCTGAGAAGCCCTCCAATGCATTGCGCAAAAGCATCCTGAATCACAGTCTCTGTTTCGATGAACGAAAACGTGCCACTAGAGACTGCTGAAATCGTGTGCATTAGCTCAGCATCGTGATCTGAGCCAAACCCAAAGGTATGAATTGGAATACGGCAAGAACTGGGAAGCAAAGACTCGTAATCTGTTCTCAGACGGACCCCAGTATGAGAAAAAGTAAAGTTGTCCTGTCCATCAGACAATAGCATCATCCCGGAAACCGGGTTCTTCCACCGTCTATCCTCAATCACTCTCGCACCAATCTTGAGCCCCTCTGCAATGTTTGTCCCACCGCCAGCAACCAAGGAGTTAACAGCCTGCATCGCCGCTTGCTTCCCTGTCTCAGACATCAGTCTAAGAGGGAATAGTCGGCGAGCCGTGGAGGAGAAGGAGATTACAGAGAGCCTATCAGTTTCACCAAGATTCTGAATCACAAAACCCATTGCATTTTTCATAAGCTCCATTTTGACTCCTTCCATGCTACCACTCACATCAAGCACGGTAATAAGATCCAAAGGAGCTCGAGCGCGCCTAGCATCATCACTCACACCCTCAGCCTTAAGATGAACCAGAACAGCAAAATCACCACGAGAGACCGGTTTGGCCAGTGCAGAGACTTCAGGGAACAGTTGAATCTCGAGGGCTTGATGATCCGAACGATGACCATCACTCTGGGTTTGGGTCTCACCTTGAGGTAAAGGCTCGTCATCTTCAAAACCCATTTGAGCAAGCAAGGTAGGGACAGAGTCAATATCACACAAAGGGACTTGTTTCCACTGAGTTCTGCATAAAGGGCAAATCCTGTTTCCATGTTTGACGTTGGAGGTAATACAATCGAAATGGAAGGAATGAGAGCACTCTGCAGTAAAAATAGCCTTCCCGTCTTCCTTTCTAATCTCATACAAGCAAATCGCGCACCTGCTCTGCAAATTTTGAAAGAAAACAATCTCTATCACACAATCTTAAAACCTAGAAACCTAATAGGATAAGGGAGAACTAGAGATCAACACTAGTTAAAACCCATTCGGCCACAAACGATAAAATTGCGTCAACCCTAAACCAAAACTTAAGCCACAAACGCTGATTATATATCTTAAACCCATTAGACGATGAAATTGCATCAATTTCGCATCACCCACATAAGAAAAAGAGAAAAGATTGGATCTTTGGAGCGTAGAGACAGTAGAGAGGGGTGAGAGAGAGAGAGAACCTTAGAGAAACGGGAGCCAGAAGAGGAAGGAGTAGAGGCAGGGCGAGAAGAAGAAGAATCGGGTCGGGTCGGGTCAACGGATGATCTTGAGGCATCGCTGGGAGAAGGAGATGAAGGATCGAGGGTTTTGGGAAGAGTGAGACACTCGTTCAAGTCCAGATGCGATTTCGATTCTCGCAAGTTGTTCGGGCTCGCCATTGTTATGCTTTCCGAGTTCTAATTTCGTAGAGATTGTTAAGATGGAGAAGAAGGAGAAAGTTGATAAGATCAAAAGACTCTTGAAGAAGGAATAAAAAGAAGAAGCGGTTACCATAAAGAAGAAGAAAGCGAATTGTTCAATTCAAATCACTTTAATAAACGTCAACTATCTATTTTTCCTTTTTTTTATACGACTTTTTGTGTAATTTTTTTGGCTTTTTCTTTTGTGGATGGGAGTCATAGGACGCTACGGTGGAAACTAGAAAGAAAAGACCGAGATACTTCTTTTAACATCACATAATAGTTTACTTGGGAGTATTATTCACTTCGTCCCATAAAAATGAATTTTTTTTAAAAAAATTTGTTCCATAAAAATTGAAGTTTTATATTTCCAAGGTCAAATTTAAAACAGTTTATCTATTTTACCTTTATTAAACAACAATAAATAATATACTTTTTAAAATATGTTAAAAAATTAAAAAGTTAAAATTGTCATTATACATTATTTTTTAAAGAATATGAAATTTCTAAAAAAATATTTTTGTGAGACGGATGGAATATTTAATTAAATAATAAATTCGACTGAAATTTTATGATATTGTAAAAATGACTAAAATTATGGGTTCTTAAAATCTAACTTCGAAGTTTGACATGTTTAGTTGTCGTTCTATAATTTGGGTTTTCTATAAAGTTAAACAGTATTTTCAATCATCACTTTATGTTGTGATCAGACTCTGTATCTAATACATGAAAGTAGAACGTTGCATTTCAAGGGAGACCTTAGCGAACGACTCGGTCCCTGACTCACTGAATTAGATTACGTAACCTACTTATACATATTAATATATATATATATATATATCAACTCTCTCTAAATCAACAACTAAACCCTAAACATCTCTCCTATTAGCTCACTCGTCGTCAGAAAGACAAACCACGTCATTGTTCATCTGCAATCCTCCACTCCTCAAGCTCTGTTGCGGCTGTTTTTCTTGCTGCTGCTTCTGAATTGACACAGCTGAATATGTCAAAGCTTGAGGAGGCGCTGACGAGGTTGGAGTAGCTGTGGCGACGGAAGTGGAAGAGGATTGTCTATATGAGTTTAGGTGTGGCGCAGGAGATCGCAGACTTGCACTGGGAACTGGATTTGCTGCAGGGGAAACTGATGGAGTTGGAGCTATGTTGGATATGAGAGGCTGTCTGGGCTGAGGCATTGGACAGATTGCGGAATTCAGAGGAAGGGCTGATGGACGAGAGACTGAAGAAGCAAACGAAGATGCCTGAGGCTGAAGAGGAGCCGGACCAGGAGCAGGAAATGATGATTGCTGAAGTTGCAGAGGAGCCGGAACCAGAGCAGGAGCAGGAAAAGAAGATGCCTGAAGCTGCTGAGGAGCCGAAGCACTGTAATTTCTCAGTGCGCTCACTTGTGTTGCTCTCTGTGCTAGCTGCTGAATTCTACCTGGAGAAGAAGTGATATTATGACTTCATCGTATTATTTCTAAAAGCAATTTGCTATATATTATTCGACACTTACCCCTTGGAGCTGCTGAGGGAGATACCTTCTTGTCAGTACATTTGGACAAGAACGCATTCGCCAACAGTTTGTTCATTATAACAAGATTCTTATCCGTCTCTATCTTTGTCGTTCTTGTGTTATGCTCGGCTTCTACCTCATTAAATTTTCTTTGAAACTCTGCTTGTACTTCAGCCATCTTCCTCTCGAGTTCAGCTTTCAAGATTGATTTCTGCTCACAAGCAACTCAGAGTCAATAAACAGTTAGAAAAAAAAAACAAAACAAGAGGTAACTGGGTAATGAGGGAAACTGACTTTTTCTTCAAAAGTCTTCTTTGAGTTCTCTGATTCTCTCCGCAACTTCTCCAGTTCATGCAGAAACGGGTCGTTGAACACAGGGAAAGGTATTTGAGGAACAGGTTGAACGGCACTCTGTTCCGTACCATTGTTGAGAAGTGATGGAACAAGAGCTGTTACACCAGCTGAATGCTCCACGCCACCTTCATGGACAAGACCTGCACAAAAGGCATCTCATTGTTAACAGTTTGGCAAACACCTATGTTGACCTAGGTGATACTAAAAAATGCACAAGGCAGTTACTGACTTGCAAAGTTTGACCGCTCTACTCGGGGACCAGGTTCTGCAATTTCCATTTCACATGCATCTGATCCACTTATATGAGGTTCAGCTATTGTTGTGTTATTTAAACCCTCAATGTTAACTGCTGTATCAGGGTGATTTCCAGGCGAAGATAATGGCATAGGAGATGCATCCTGAGCACACTGTCCAGAAAAATTAAATCACAAGCAAAAATTACATCTGCTCACTACCCACTGTTTGCTTAGTTTCTAACACTAAATTGACAACGAACATTAAAAAGAACTAGACCTTTAAACCAACACATAAGAAAGTCCTTGAGCAGAGGCAGGTACCTGATCTGATACAGGAGATCCACCGGTTTCTACTGCATCTGATCCATCTGTGGGAAGCTGAGCCACTGTTGTGATATTTTGGCCCTCATTGTTTGCTCCTAGGTCAGACTGAGTTCCAAACGATGCAGATGGCAGAGAGCATGCATCCTGAGCACCCATTGTTTCCTGCAGGAAATCCAGAACGAGTATTACAAAGATGTAAGACTTTTTAACAACAAAATAGATTTGTCTTTAGTTAAGGCAATAATTACCTGATCTGATACTGCATAATCACCACTCTCTACTACCTCTGAACCAGCTACATGGGGCTCAGCTGATGTGTTGATATTTTGGCTTCCAATGTTTGCTTCTGGTGCAGGCTGATTTCCAGCCGGTGAAGAAGGCAAAGGACATGTAACTTGATCACCCTGTCAAAAGAGTCAATTTAAAACAACAATGAGACCTGATCAGTAACAACATTTCCCCACTTTTTCACACAGGAAACTCAGAATGACATAACACAGATTGATAACTTTAAACCAGTAAGAGAAAGTCTTCAATAGGGACCTGATGTGATGCAGCAAAATCAGTGGTCTCTACTGTTTCTGATCCAGTAGACTGAAGCTCAATTGCTGCTTCAAGATTTTGGCCCTGGGTGTTTGCTGCTGGGTCAGGTTGCTTTCCAGCCAGAGAAGAAGGCATAGGAGATATATCTTGACCATCCTGTCCAGAAAAGTGAATTTAATAAGGAAAAAATGCATCTGATCACTAACCGCTGTTTTTGCAAGAAAACAAGAATGAAAATTAGAAAGATTAAATGAACAACGCATCAACTATTCTACAGGACAGTAAGTACCTGATCAGATTCAGTAGCACTCCTAGTCTCTACCACAGACGCAGGATGTGGCATAGGCAACGCTAACTCGTCAGAAATATCTTGGTCAAGAGAACAAGCTTCCCTATTCTGCTGGTCAAAAATGTTATCAGTATCAGAAACCACATGACTTGTTCTATTATTTTCTGTTGTAACCAAAGCCTCCTCTCTATTCAAAGAAGACTCGGGGGAGGCAGACTTTGCAAGATTTTCAAGAGGCTGGGATACCTCTGGCACCCTTGACGAAACATCTTCATCTGGTCCCGCAGACGTTATTCCGTCACAATTCTGGTTTTCTGACAAATGCACGTTCAAGGCCGCAAATTCCTCTTGACAGCCAGCAGGAACCAAAATCTCAGGCACAGTGATAGAAGCGAGCTCATTGGACTGGCTCTTTGTAACCATAATCTTTGTAGGCTGTCCATGAGACAAATCTGAGACATCCATCTTCTTGTCATTTCTTACAGCCTCCATTTCATGAACTTGTTGAGTGCTGCCACCCGACATGGTTGCTAATGTGTTTTCTGCTTCTGGCAAATTCGTATCAGCATAAGTACCTTCAACGTTCATATCATTGCAAATCTGTACATCAGGAGCATTTTGGGAAATGTTTGATGAGCATAGACCACTAAGATGCTTGTTGTTGCGACTTTGCATGGGAACACAAACTTTTAAATTAGCTTGTGCCCAGCTCTTTAACCGATTAATCCAACAGGCTTTATCCTCAGCCAACTTCTTCTTTGCAGCCTCGTGCATTTGCTCCAGACTTTTGAGGCATTCATTTTTCTCACTTTTGATTTCATCAAACATTCTTTCAAACTTATCATCCAGCAGTTTGAGATCATCCACTTGAGTACTGGTCCGTGAACACGTAATACGAATTACTGCTGCTTCCACATTTTTCCTAGTTTCAAGTTTCTGCTTCTTGTCTGCATACATATTTAACAGCTCCAGTTTCTTTTCCTCGTGCTCTTGTACAAGCTTTTGCACTTGCTTCTTCCATTTCTTTTCTATGTCGCTAATAGTCTTTTCGACATCTTCTGTTGCTGTGCTATAATGGCTACATCTCCTCTCAGTAATGCATTCTTCATCCTCTGAACTATTACGCATCGACTTCGTATTGTTCTTTTCCTCACGCACTGTAGCCCCTGAGAGACTTTCATTCACTAGTTGTGTGCTAACCATTGACTGTTTAGAATTAGTACCAAAGCAATCGAACTGCAAACCTTGTGTGCGCTCCAGGAACAGACTCTTCATGCAGGACAATATCGAATATATATAATCCACCTCTACTCTAGAGCAATCGAAAGCTAATTCAGATTTTGCACGGACCAGAGATTCTTTGTGGCTAAGATTTTGCTTTACTAACAAGGCTGCAATCCAACTCTGAAAAAGGCATTATTAACAACGTATTCAGTATGTGAACTATTCATAGATTATGCAGCGATCAAAGGCCAATTAATAGATATTTGTGTCATATGATTGGAAAGTTAAAACTAAAGGAGTGGTGCCTTCTGAGGAAATTCGAAACAAAGTCAGATGAAGAAAGAAATAATGCATAAACTATCAAAGTAAATGCTGTCATACCAGGGCTAACTGGAATGCCTGCAATGTGGTGGCTGGCTCTTCGTAGATTTGGTGATTTTCAATAACATATTCAAGAAAATTTTCGACCATGCTTGTGCAAGCATCCTGAAAACAAAATAATATGTTAACCAATCATACATTGCAAAATACCTTTTAGTACAATTTTGATAGACGGAGCACCATGACAATAACAGAAGTATATGGACACGGCAGCGGAAACATCTATTAACCAATATATGAAGATATAAGACAACCTTAAAATAGCATCAGTCAATGTATCAGTTTCTATACCAACAGCAAACAGATAAACTTTTGACATGTCTTTCATCAGCCAGGTACAAAGGCCTAAAGTTATATATACTCTCACAAATGGATCATGCAAAGTAGACATAGTTTTCTTTGCTTCAACAAATAATGAATGACATGAGGCACATAACTACCTACTGTTTTGTGCAGCAGTTGCTCATTTTTAACAGTGCATTAGTAACGAAGCCAGATATAAGAAAATGAAATAGGCTTAAACGTATGGAATATAATTGAACAATATAAATTTCACATTTGGCAGTAACAGAGGAAATCAGGTAACAATTATAGTTACAATCCGCAATATATATGCATATGCAAGGCTAAAATAAGTTGTGGAGGTGAAAAAGGCCACTTACTGAAAGATGCAAAACTTGGCAAAGTTTTGCCATCTTCAGCTTTAAAACAGCGTGGAGCCTCCTCTGTGATTCACCCGGTATTTTTCTCCAATCATGACCAGCTAACATACCCTCTGGAATTCCAGAGATATGACCGCCCATAGAATACAAGCCATAAGTATCATTTCCATCCAGTGTACCATCTGCACCAGAAGTAGATTTACATGATGACTGGAGTGCTATGACTTTTGGTGACTCCAAAGCCCCTGTAGGGAAGATAGACAGCAAAGTAGTTGCAAAATCAATGAACACTAGCGGTTTAGGAGTAGGAATTGAAATTTTATACCTATGTGATCCTTCCCAGAGGCCTTTCTTTCATCATCATCTACAGGGGGATCAGTGACATCATCAGAAGCCTTCTTTCGCTTCTTTGCATTTCCGCCATCGCCAATTTTGGGACTCTCTTCAGAGCCCTCAAAATACTGAACTCTTTTTCGATTCCTTTGGGGAGTATCTGAAGGGTATTTCCACATAGGATTCTTTCCCCCCAACAGCTTTGTCCAAAATATATTTGGACTATGACTATCTTCAGCTAACAACTTAATATGGTCTTCACCAAATAGAGTAGAATCACTGCTGTAAGTTCCCTGAGCATGCTTGGCTTCCAAAAGTAGACACAACTTGACTTCATTTTCTTCTTCACCTTTGGAAGAAAGTATGGACGAGAATTCATGAATCACGCCGTCCATAATAGATTGTTCAAATGAAGCTCCTGAATGTGGGGTTTCACTGCTGTGAAAATGATCCAGCCTATCAAATAAGTACGACGCCCCCCACATGAGCAGTGCATGCGTGAGAGAACGGCTTAGGTTCTCTACAGCCTTATGGTGCCGCTTATTTTGCCTAGCCAGAATCAGGGCTTTTTCTTCAACTGTACATACTGAGTACAACCGGAATATCTTAGTTCTTTCAGAACATGACTCAATTTTTATCTTCTCTAAGTGCTTAACATCATGCGATGGATTCAAGCTGCTTCCAAAAAGAATAAACACTTCAGCCCGCAAGAGTTTAATGGTTTGACTGCAAGCACGTGTTTCCAACAGCAGAACACAGCATTGACTCTCCTTGTTGAAATTGTTTATAGCGTTCTTCTTTGAGGAATAGATCCCATGCTCATAAGATTTTGGACCAAATCTATGACCCACAAAATCTTCGAGAATATTACCAAGCAGAAGCCCTTCAGGAGTTTGTGCTGCCTGTTGAAAAAAAAAACTGTAATTCAAACATACATGAGGCACATATAACGACAAAGAAAGAAGAGAATAGAAACATTTCAGTTCAGCATATCTCATAGTGCCAGCTGACTACTGAAGGCTAACTTACAATTCATCATCAGATGATAAAAAGCATACTTTCACCCCACTCAAATTTCAGTACAAGACAGATTACATTGTCCAAAAGTAAGTGCATATATATATATTGAGAATGCACAAAGTGACATAACCATGATAAACATAGACCTATCCACATTCGTAAGTAATAGAAATGCACCTGGTAGAAGACAACTGCTTTTAAACCATTCTTTTTTATATGAGTAAGCATTTCATCAAGGAGCTGAAGTTTCCCGCTAGCTTTAACTTCTACATCCAGGATTTTATGCAACTCCAGATTCTTGGTGAGCAGTTGTTTCAAAGATGCATCCATAACGTATGGATGGTCACAGGTCTGTCAACAAAATTGCAAGCACACAAAGAAGGATTTAATATATCCACACATTGATATGCAAAAAGAGGCTTTGAGAAAATGTGATGCTGACCGACAGTAGTAGCATATCTAAGCATCCCCAAAACTGTCAAGTTTGCCGGGTTCTATGTGTTTCAAAAAAGCATAAAACAAATCGACCAGAACCTTTTCCCTACCAAACATCTAACAGAAAGGCATAACACCTATGTGACAACCTCTTAAGAGCATGGAACACAGAATTATTTTTTTGGCTGCAATGCTGTGAACACCTTATCAATTTTTCTATTGCTTTATTTTATCTTATCACCAGTGTTAACTGGGTACTTAACGCACAAGTGCATTGAAGAATAAGTTTTATTTTTAAATCAAAGTAACTTACTTTCCTTACAGAATTGAGAGTTTCTTCGAGAGCTCCAAGATCAATCTTCGACAGTGAAGAAAGAGATAAGGATTTGGAGAAGAGAGTCCGACAGTATTGCTCCAGCTGTACGTCTGATAGCTGCACAGGAACCCAATACTCTGGGTACATCGAAGAATACAATTTGGGTTCACTTGATTTACCGTGTTGCATTTGCCCGTTCTCCTCATATTCCCTGCTCGTAGCTGGTCCAGTTTCCTTCATATCCTAATCAAATGCAAAATAGAATTGCAGGCAACTGATTAACAGGAAGGGGCCAAAAAAACTGGATAAGTAAATCTAACTATTAAACAGGCAACTGATTAACGGGTGTCCTAAGGAAAGTAATTAGAAACCAACCTGTGTCAAGTGATCAGATTCTTCAACTGGCTGGGCAATGCAGGAGCAAACACTCAGATTTTGAAAATCACCATTGACCCTTCAAAATTTTGAACAACTAATTACAATACAGAACATATATCGTTACCAAAAATTAACCTAAGAATCAAACCCATCTGTCCAACATTCATCTATGGTAAAAAGACATTGCCAGATCGTTTCAATAGACAGACAACACTAAAAAAAACTCTTACTTTTGCCGTTTTTTACATGTGTTGCACATTTCAGGTTGATTATCATTTTTGCACCCAAATGGAGATGGATTGACCCCATCGGAACTCATAACGTGGTCATCTCCATTTGCAACTGTGGCACATGCATCCAGCTCAATTCCTGCAGTGTCTCTTTTTCTTTTCAAAGGCAAACCTATGTCGGTTTCTAAACCAGTTTTACTGACAAAAGGCTTTTGGGTTTCTAAATTTTCAGATGGTGAAGCTATAACGCTGTCATCCCTAGTTTCGACTATGGGGGATGCATAAAGAACCATCTTTTCGGTCTCCGTTATTGATTTCAAAGGAAAATCAGTGTCCTTGTCTAAACTAGTTTGGCCAACTGGCAGCTTTTTTGATTCTGCATTTGCAGGTGGTAGACAATCTGTGTTACCATCTTGAAACTTTTGTGGATATTTCTTCTCTAAACTAGTTTCACCAACTGGCAGCGTTTTTAATTCTGCCTTTGCAAGTGGTGGACAATCTGTGTTACCATCTTGAAGCTTTTGTGTCTCTAACTTCTCAGATGGTGAACCTATAACGCTGTCATCCCCAATTTCAACTATGGGGGATGCATCAAGCACCATCTTCTCGGTCTCCGTAACTGATTTCAAAGGAATACCAGTACCCTTCTCTAAACTAGTTTCGCCAACTGACAGCCTTTTTGATTCTGTATTTGCAGGTGGTGGACAATCTGTGTTACCATCTTGAGGCTTTTGCGTCTCTAAATTCTCAGATGGAGAACCAATAACACTGCCATCCCCAGTTTCAACTATGGGGGATGCATCAAGCACCATATTTTCGGTGTCCGTAATCGATTTCAAAGGAAAGTCAGTGCCCTTCTCCAAACTAGTTTCGCCAACTGGCAGCCTTTTTGATCCTGCATTTGCAGGTGGTGGACAATCTGTTTTACCTTGAGCATCATCATTGCCTGCAGGTATGCGGCGAGAACAACCAACAACTACTAGTTCCTCTTCATTTGGAGAAACATCAACTAATGCCTCGGATTCCTTGAGCTTCCCTCTAAACAACGCCCTGAAACTTCGGGCTGACATTATAGGCCCCTGTTTGTTGATCTTATTTGTCGACTCTTCAACACTGTTTTTCCTTTTATCCTTCCTCTGCTCAATATACGATGAAGTGTCTGCGTTCCTGCCAGAATTATCTGATCCTTTGGAATTCTGCAAGGATACTACATTCTTTCCCCTATTGGACCTTCGCAGAGGACTTGGTGTGTAATTCTTCTCCATTCCACCGGACTTTATCGCAACAGAAGCAGGTGAGGGAGCCAGTCTCTCTGACTTTCTAGTAGCAGAGGCTGGAGTTATTAGATTTGTAGATGGTGCTCCCCGGCTTGACCTCCTCAAACCAGGGGTTTCGTGTTCAGCTGAGGCAGGAATTGAAGCTGCTAGGGATCTGGTGCAAATGGTTCTCCCCGCCGAACTATTCTTTTCATCTTTCTTCATATTCTCTGAAACCACAAAACGGAAAAGACGCTAACAACCTAGAATGTGAGCACCGAAGAAGACCATCAAACAAATGTCTACAAATCCTTTGAAAAAACTTTAAAATCAAATTTCCTATATGCCAAACTGATGTGTTACATCTAACAGACGCCTAAGATCCATCCCCAGGTATATACGATTCTCTGAAAAACCTAAACCGCAAAGCTCGAATGCCCGAAACCCTCAATTCACAGATCGATTATCCCATCCAACACCAACCTAAAAGAGGGAAGGAAGCGTACCTGCGCGAAAGTGAGATGGTCAGAATCTATCGCTTCACGAGCTTGGTGGCAATTTCCGATTCCGAGAGTGTGAAAAAACGGGAGGGAAAATCTGGAAATTGAGAATTCCAGCACAATTCTCGATTAAGCGCTTCTTCAGGCCATGCAATCCTCACGGTGTTTGGGGTTTCGGAAAATTTTAAGTTTGAAGAAGACGAGAGTTGCGTTTGCAGAATTATGTACGGAGCGTTCTCTTTTGGCACCGGCGTTTCTCGAGTGTCCGATTTTTATCCTACGCTTACTCCAAGGAAAAGTTCATGCTTGTAAGGCATTTTGATTTCTGAGATTAAATTTCCTTTTTTTTTTTAAATGTTATAATATATTTTATACAGTAGTGTAAATAACATTTGTTATGTGAAATAATTAAATGTTATTTTAATGTTATAAAAATATTGTAAATATTACACTGACTATATAGGATACGAATATGTGTACTATTCTAAAATTAGAAACGAATTAGGATACGAATATGTAGCTAAAATTGAACATTAGATAGAACAAATTAATCATATACATTATACATAATACAATATGAAATAAAACTGAGCTCTTCATGTATTCAAAAATGATTAAGAATCTCCAAATTAAAGAGATAAAAAAAATAGAAAATGATTCTTCATTTATATTAGTATTTAATCAACATTTTACACCTATATTTTCTTTCTCTAAAACTTAAAACGTTTTACACCTATATAGGGAAGCTAACCGTCTTGCTGATGGGTTAGCGAACTATGCGTTCTCTTTGCCGCATATTTTTGATGTTGTTCCGAATGATGTTGTTTCACTCCTCAGTGATGACGTGATTGGGTCTACGCGCCTAAGATGTATTCGTTTGTAATTTGTTTTTATTTTTTCTTAATAGAAGGGAGACAGTCTCCTATTCCTTACCAAAAAAAAAAAAACGTTTATCGGTTTGTCGGCCTCGACAATAGGCCGTAACCATTTGCGGAACTGAATTTTATAACCATAACGTTAGTCAGGAGGGCATAGCCGCGAGATTTGTCGGGCAACCTTGACCGCTACACTATTTACAACGAAATTTTTACATGTATCATTCTAGTCGGTCCAAAATACACTAATATAGTATTTGCTTAGTTTTTGTCAATACATTAATTCCAATGAATCCAATATTATTTAGGAGCATTATCTTATCTCTTACGATATTTGAAAGATTATTAGAACGAATACAACCAAACTTAAATAATTAATAAACTTTAAGATGGTTTAATATGCCATGTTGGTGTGTAAAGTGCCACCGGACGCTCATTTTCACGCTGAAGCGGTCTCGCATTTGTATTAGATTGCTGCAGCAAAAAAGAATTATGTAAACATATCGGTCACACTATGTAGATATATACATTGTCACATTTTTAAAGCCAAGTTAATTAGTACACGTTTAGTTAGTTAAAATTAGAAGCTAAAAAGGATTAGAGACACTCACATCGTGTACAGTCACGCGAAGCATGATCAATTGTTTTAATGTCACAGTCCTCATCTGCAAAATTTGAAATATATATCAAAAAACTAATTCGAAAAATGATTAAGCATTATAATAATCACCATGGATAGCAATTATACCTCTTTGGAAATCGTCCAAATAACATTTTCAGAACACGGTGGAGTTGTAAGTGATCCGGTATATCTATAATAGTGTCTTGATTCAAAATCGAATGTTCTAGGATGAATCATTCCGACGTATTCCTCGGATTCATGTGTATCAGTTATCTTCCTCAAGTATCTTTCCAACTATAGTCAATATCAGATATTGAATTAATCTTTTGTTTTCTTCCAAAAAGTAAAAATTATAGTAATTAATTATTTGGTTAAAACGATTAGGTAAGTAGGAAGGTTGAGGTTGCAATACCGTAAGGAGGAAATAGTCAGGTTTTCCCAATTTGTAAAAGAAAGCGACTACAGCATTGCGTCCATCTTTGCTCTGATGAACCATGTGTTCCTCAAGAACAAACCTATTACGTGTGCATTATTCAAATCTTTGCATGCATGCTAATCATATCTCAAACAATCCCTTAACCTCAAAAATGTTAGCCTAATTTAGTTAAGATTTTTTTCCCTAATCATATTATTTATATTAAGATAACAATATTCACATTAGTCATTAAGATAGGATTGCTAGAATATAACAAATGTATACGAGTAGAGAGATACCTTTTGCCATTGAGTGTGTGTTCAGAAGGGGAGTGCCAATGAATCTGTTGAAGTTTATATTCAGTACCATTAATAGTGATACCTAAACCTGCATTTCCTCCTTCAAATTTCATCTGCCACAAAAATAAACAATTATTATGATCCAGAAATATACATATTGGAAAAGCTAATAGTTGATTTACCATGATATCATGGCCTCTGTTCTTTATGGTGATATTTGAAGGTAAATACTGGCTACGAAGGTATCCAAGATTATGATCAATCAAGACTCTTTTGTCCGTCAGATCAATCGGAGACTGCATGTTGCCTTTTCCACACATTGCCCACTCTGGCTTTAGTCTTCCCCAATTATCTGGCCCTTTCTCTCCTTTCTTCTCGTAGTTAAACTGCGTTTCGTCCTCTATATATATTTTTGGTTACATACGAGTTAAAAAATGTGTTTACCAACTTCAGTCCATGTGAAAATATGTGAACGTTTATTGGATTTGAATTCAAAACCAACTAATAATTAACGGAGCTTACCAACTTCGCCATTATCTGGTGAACTCGAAACAATTGTAATAGAGATGAAGATAAGGAAAACGACGCATCCAATTGATGATATCTTCATTTTTTGTGCTATATATGTCTTGAGAAGAGAGATGAAAGAAATTCCAATTTTTGGTTGAGCTAAATTCTTATGAAACAACTTCAAGGAGATGCTGCTGATAAAACAATTGTTTTTATCCTCTTTTATACCTCTTATTCAAGTTAACAAAAATTTACGTGCTTTTGTAATTGTTTTCAGTTTTCACCTTAATTTTCTCTAGTTTTCTTTATGTTTCTTTGTTTTTAGGTAATTTATATAAAAATATTTAAGTATATAAAAGAGAAGGAAATCTTTGTGTGACTCACCAATTAAAATGTATCTAAGTTAATTAGTTGAAACTTTTGGAGAATAATCTTGGTGTGATTACACTACAGAATAACTCCATTTTTTAAAAAAAAATCAAAATTTCCAAAAGTTTAAAGTAAATTATGTTAAATCTATTTTATAAAAAAAATATTATATAAAATGTAAAATCAGGTGACTACTGATTCTTTGCATGAAGCATACTTTTATTTAATTAGTTGTATTCTAGAAAAATTCGACATCAGCATTTGTTATTTGAAAAGTGAAAACTCTTTCTTTACATGTATACACTTACATCAATGAATCATTAACGCCTTATATGTAATTTACTTGCTTGACTAATCTTGTTGAAATGTACAGCAACCACACAAAGAAAGTTATATTACAGTTCTTGACCAACCTCATTGGTAACAAGATCTTCTGAAATGATGGCTACCAGTAGTCATTGCAGGAGCAAACACCATCTCTAAAATGATGGAAACGAGTTCTGTCTCTAGCAATAATCTCCCTTTTGTAAATCTTTGATATAAGCTTTGTAGCCTCATGACAATTTCTGCACACCCTTAGATTCTTCACGATTGTAAGTTTAGTCCCAGGCTTTGTACTGATCAACCCAAATGCAATAGCTAGCTTCTCGCTGTGATGCCGCAACGCTCCTTCTTTCCATTCTTCTTCCATCTCTTGCAAGACTTCAGAAGTATCTGGAACAAACCCGGCTTTCTCCAGTAACACCTCCATTTCTTCTAACATTCCGTAGATTTCTCTGTTCCGTGGATGGAATTTATCCCCGATGATGAACTCATGGACCACAGAATCTATTTCGATAGAGCTGCAACCAGGAACTTTTTTCATACCTTTATCGTTGAGGAGTGCTCGTATTTTTGCTACTTCGTTCCATCTGCCTGCTGTAGCGTAAATGTTTGATAGGAGTACATAACAACCTGGGTTTTCTGGCTCTATCTTAATGAGGTTTTGTGCAAATGATTCACCCAACTCGACATTCCCACGAATCTTGCAAGCTTTGAGAAGGGAGCACCAAATCACTCCATCGGGCTCCATTTCCATATTGTTTATCATTTCTTCCGCTTCTTTGAATAGACCCGAATGACCCAAAAGATCAATCATGCAACCGTAGTGCTCTAATTTCGGGGTTATTTTGTAGTCCTGTGTCATTGTTCTGAAAATATGGCGTCCAAGATCTAACATACCTGAACGGCTACAAGCAGACAACAAACCAACAAACGTGATATCATCTGGTTCAATCCCAATCTTTCTCATTCTTGAGAAAATATCAAATGCTGCATCAGCTCTCCCGTGCATCGCAAACCCAAATATCATTGCGTTCCAAGACGACAAGCTTTTATGGAGTATACTGTTGAACACTTGGTGTGCTGCCTCTATGTCTCCACATTTAGCATACATGTCAATAAGGCTTGTCCGGAGAGAAGAAGCATTTGTAGCACTCTTTAATCTCTTGTCGATATACACATGAATCCATCTTCCAATATCTATGGCTCCAAGGTGTGCACAAGCAGGAAGAATACTTAGCATTGTTACATCGTTTGGCCTTTCGCCTGATCTCAGCATTTCTTGAAACAACAACAATGCTTCTTTGTAAAGATTCATATGTGTGTAACCACCGATCAAGGTATTCCAAGAAATTACATCCTTGTACAGCAATCCTTCGAACAAACCACATGCTGTCTCCAATTCCCCACATTTTGAGTACAAATCCATGAGAGAATTAACAATCTTAAGATTTGAACCAAACCCATGATCATCAATCCATGAATGTACCTGACGCCCCAATTCAATACTACCAGACTGAGCACAAGCAGAAACTACAGTGACCATTGTACTCTCGTCTGGCCTAATATTCGTCTTCATCATCTCTTTAAACAATTCTAATGCTTCTTTATAGTTACCAGTTTCAGCATACCCTGAAATCATTGCATTCCATGACACTACGTCTTTCACTGGAATTTCATCAAACAACTTCTGTGCACTTTCGATATAGCCTCTGGATGCATAACCCTTGATCAAAGCTGTATAGGAAACCACATCTCGGTGAGGACTTCTATCGAACACCTTACGTGCATCTTCCAATCTCCCGTTTTGAACGTACACAGAGATCAGAGAAGTATGTACAAACAAATCTAGATCATACCCAAGTTTCAAAACGTG